TTTCAAGACCAATTCCGAGCCCACAAAATCAAAAGTGTTATTAAGTTGTTGGTGAATACCTCCAATTTTGTAATAGAATCTACCAGGTATCCTCAATTTTTAAAATATTATTTTAGAATATACTCCCTCCGTCCTATAATGATTTTCCCAGAGCACTATTCCAACTTAACGGGAATTTATATTTATTTGTGTTTTTTCATGGCCTATATGATAAAATAAAATATTCTTGTCACCACTTGTTTTGTTGAACTTTTGGTGTAGTTTTTAAATATGTATGTTTTATTTTTTATTTCTATACCAATATTTAAATTAAATAGATTGAAAAAACTTGGGATTTTTCTTCGTTTTGCGAACCGGAAAGATCATTATAGGACGGAGGGAGTATATCTTACATTATTTGAAAACTTATCGTGAAGGGATGTTTCATCCCTCCGTCTATTGCTCCGTCATTTTCATCTTTATCATCATCACTTTCAATATCATCATTTTCTCCTTCCTTCATTTTCTTCTTCTCCTCCTCCTCATCTCCTCCTCCTTCAGATACAGACCCCCACCCCTCCCTTTTTTCTTTTTCTATTATTATTATTATTATTATTATTATTATTATATCATTATCATCATATGATTACTACTGTTATTATTATTATTGTTGTTGAAATTGATTAGTAGTTTTACTACTCTAATTTAAACAAAACACTAATGGCCCAACCAAAAAAATTGTATGCTCCCATTAACCTTTCCCAATGTCTACTTCCGTAAAAAGACTAATATATTTTTTTATCTTTAACAGAAATTTATTTTTGGTAATCTCATTATGTATAACTTACTCCCTTCGTCCCTAAATATTTGCCACACTTGTATTCCCGAGGCAAAATATCAAGTTTTTTCAATTCATTTTATTTACATATTGGTATAGAAATAAAAAATAAAATTTACATATCAAAAAACTACATGAAAAGTTCTTCAAAATAAGAGTGTCAAGAATATTTTATTTTATCAAATAACCAATGAAAACGTAGAAATAAACAAAAGTTCTCGCGACTGTTGAAAAAGCAAACGTTGCAAATAATTTGGGATGGAGGGAGTATAAATTTAGAATTGTTTACTCAGAGATCTATTCTTGTGTCTCAAATTCATTTACAGAATGCAATGTTTAAATCTTATATTTTTTTAAAAAAAAGATTTTATCAATAGATTTGTATAAAAATAAAAACTACAAATTACATATTTAAAAACTTCCAAAGGTTCTACAAAAAAAGATGTGACAAAGATATTTTATGTTATCAAATGACTGATAAAAATACACGAATAAACAAAAAAATCTCAAGTTTTATTTTATTATTGTACAATGATGATAGTTTAAAGTACTTGAAAAAGAAAAAGTTGGAAAGTATCACATAGTAGAAGTTAAGGGTGCATTTTGTTGGGGGTATTTTTTAGATATTATTCTCTAGGGAAAAATAATTTCCACCAAACATTATTTTCTTCCCATATTTTTCATTTTTTGGTATGAATAATGTTTTCCTCAAAATACTTTTCTGTTATTTGTTAGGAAGGAACTTTCCAAAAAATAAACTTTTCATTACATTGTTGATATTTAATAAAATAAAAAACAAATGTGCATATTTAGAGACAATTTTGCCCATGGAATCAATGCACGGCTGGGGTTCCATCCAAAGTGAAGATCAGTGATGTAGCTTCAAGAACATAAAGGGAACTTCTGCTACAAAAGTGACTGTAAACTTGCATGTAGCAACATCAAGCCTACGCTCTCTGGCAAACAATTCCCTGCTGTTTGTGATGGTGCTTGTGGCGGTGCTGCTGCTCTTGCTGGAGCTGCTTCTGTTTAAGCTTTCATACATCATTATAATCTTTTGAGTTAATTATATACTATTAGTAATAGGGGTGAGCATCGAGTCGGTTCGGTCGGTTTCAGGCCAAAACCGAACTAACCGGAAAAAAAAATTGATATGGAATAACCGACCGAACCGAACCGAGTTAGGGCCAAAACCGTACTAACCGAAACCGAAAATAACCGACCCGGTTCGGTCGGTTTTTAATAACCAAAAATAATCAAAACAATTTGTAATTTTTAATAAAAATCATCTCCCAAATCTTAAAGAAATGACAGATTCAATGAAAAAAATGTGTGAGCAATTCGACATGGTTTACAAATCATTATGACTTACTTTGAGGAGGAAAACAAATGTCAAGCTTCATAAGATTAGGCTGCCGGACAAAGATCAAATCACCAAATTGACAGTCCAAGTTTGGGGAAGAAACTTCGGCTGCCAGACGACTTAGCTTGGGGAAGAAGTTCACCTGCTTGACTGCTTCAGCCTTAGTGCATTTCAATTCTCAGGTTTGGGGAAGAAGTTTCGCACACAAATCGGCAAATCAGCGGGTTGTGTAGGTTTAATGATGGATTGGGCTGATCTTATTTGGTCTTTTAAAACTATATATTACTAATTTGTTAAATTTTTATATCGGTTATTCGGTTAACCGAATAAACCGATGACCATAATTTAAATTTAAAAACACTATAAAGAATATTTATAAAGAGAAATTAAAAAATGATAAAAAAAATTATGGTAATGGTCTCTCGTACCCTCATGATTTGAAAATTGAGAATCAATGCCCCTTCTTCTCTGGAAAAAATGAACAAAAAATAGTCTGATGGGATATCCGTATATAGCTTTGAACAGTTCAGTTCGTGATAATCAGTTTTAAATATTTATATCACGATCTCGTCCCGTTTGATGTTGGTCCTGTTTAAAATCATTTTTAATGGTTCGGTACCATTACGGTCCGGTATGGTAACATGCTAGTTTAGTTTTTTTGCCCACCCCTAAGGTAGAGGAGTGACAAGGGAAATCTGAATTGAAAAAAAATTTACCGCAAGGCAATTTTGCGACAACGACAAATCTAAAAAAAGAGTTAAAAATAACCTTTGAACCAAAATAGTTTTAGAATTACTATTTACAAAACCAAACATTATCACTTTTGAATTGTTTGTACATCTTTTTACTCATTTTATAAAATAATACTACCTCCGTCCCAAAAAGATTTACACATTTTGACTAAAGTTGAAATTAAGGGAGGGATAATTTTGTGTTGACTTTCCAAAAATACCCTTGATGTGATGGGTAAAAGTAGGATGTGATGTGTAGATTATTAGGAAAAAGGTATGATGTGATAGATAGGGTTTGAAAAAGTAAGGGGTAAAAGTGCTTTTTTAATAAAAATGGGTAGGAGATTGTGGGACGCAATTTTTTTGAAAGGTGTAAATCTTTTTGGGACGGAAGAAGTATATATTAATGTTAACTCTTGGTTTGTAGAACTTTTGAATTAGTATTAAAATATTTAAACTTTACATTAAAATTTAATACCAATTATTATTTAAATTTATTTAAAAATAACTCCAGTCAAAAAACATAAATCGTGAAGAAACTCTTTTGGGACAGAGGGAGTATTTATTTTGTAATGGGTTTTGGTTTTAACAAAAGCAATTAAAAAAATAAATTTACAAATAAATATTTACTTTGTCACGGATAACACCGTGCAAATAATAAATCATAAGGCACGTTAAGTGTTGGAATATTAGAATAATAATAATATTGTCTATTGAATGATAGAGTACACGGTAGAGTATAATAAGAGAGACTTAGAACACAACTAGAAAAAGAGAATGAAAAGTAACTAAAATACACTATCTACCATATATAGGAATACTTAATATTACTATCTAACATCCCCCTCAAGTTGAGTTTGACTGAAGTAAGAGGAAGCTTGGATACTAGCTGGGAACTGGAAACCTGATAAGACAAGTCTAACGTGCGCTCGTAGCTGCTGACTTGAAAAAGAGAAAAGTTTCACGTATGTTGGTAGCGGGTGACGTCGAAGATGAAGAGAGAAGTCTGACATGCGCGGGTAGCTAGCTACTGACGTCAAAGAAGAAGAGAAGACTATCGAATGAGGTGCTTGTTTTACAGAAGATGCTTGACATTCTTTGTCATTTTCTTGGATTCAGGCAATCATCTATTTCATTCCCCAATTGTAGAATTGTTTTATGATTTTCTTGGAGATGAGTTGTTGGAGAGTATTTCTTCCTCTCTATTTCCCCTCTTGACTTTGATTTTGTTTTGATTTGCTTTGAATTTTTATTGGTTCTACAGAAGAGAAAGAAAAAAGATGGTAGATTGATACTAAGAATTAGTGATTTGAGAGAGAGAAAAAAGAAAGCGAATATGGTTGCCTGGGCATGGATTTGAGACAATGGATATTGGTGGTGATGAGCAACTTTTATTTTTTAAGACCATAATGAGCGGCTCTTGTTGGAATAACAATTGTGAACAATTCAGAAAGAAATAAAGAATATGATGGGTGATTATTGCTATCGCCAAAGAAAGAAAAAAGATCACCGGTAGTGGGATTAGGGGATAAGGAAGAAGTAGTGGTGAGGCCGTAGTCGCCGGATAAGCAAAGAACTCTTTTATGTCACCAACCATGAACGGTGACTCTAATACCATGTTAGAATATTATAATAATAATAATATTGCTCGTGAATTACAGGAATACTTAATATTACTATCCAACATTAAGGTCAATTTGTCATGATGCCATGCCCAACAAGGCCGTCACAAATGTTTTCATGGATGCGGGTTGTGTGACACAATTGTTGTCACAGCAATTTCGACAAGACGCTCGTTGTATGACAAAAGCCGTGAAATGTCTTTTGTTAGATAATACTTCGTATTTAAACTGCATGTTGTGACAAGATCCATGACATTTTTTAATGTACTGAATAAAGATTGATTTAGCAAACTAGGACGACCATCAAGTCAAAAGCAAATAAAATATAATCGGCTTGAAAAAAGAGCATACATCAAACACTTGGAAGACACATAGAAATAATTGCCTTCAATTGAGCATATCATTTTGTGGTTGCAAACTTTTCTTCTCTCCTTATAAATACCCATTCTAGTTTTGTTACAATCCATCAATGTCTTTAACGAGAAATTAAGTAAAATAAATCATTTTAAAAGAATAAAAGTACAAAAATAAAGGAAGGAAAAATAAGGTAAAAAATGGTTTCTAGGAAGATTCAAGCTGTATGGATTTTTGTATGCATTGCTTTTGTTGTCGCAAGAGTGGATTGTGCTGATTTTAATGTCAAAACATATGGAGTCAAAGGTGATGGTACATCTGATGATAGTCAGGTACACTATAAATAAAGAAAACAAATGTTGCACTTTGTATGTGTGTGTGTGTGTATATAAAATAGCTTTGGACGATGAAATTAAAAAGATTTTTTTTTGAAAAGGCAATTCTTAAAGCATGGGGAGAAGCATGCAAAGCAACAACCCCGAGCAAGCTCATAATTCCTGCCGGAAAGTACATGGTGGGTCCAATGAAATTATTGGGTCCATGCAGCAATCCCGTAACTTTTGAAGGAGACGGTGCAACTTTTATTGCGCCAACTGATCTCTCACTTTTTAAAGGGCAAGATGGATGGATCCTTTTCTATGGCATTGAAGGTCTCACTATCACGGGAATAACTCTTGAAGGCAAGGGTGAAATCGGTTGGAAGACTAACAATTGCAAAAAGAGTTTCAGTGGAAATTGCAAATTCCTCCCCATTGTAAGTTGTATTACCTTTATTTTGTATATTGTTATATTTACTACATCAATCTATTTATAATTTTTAAATACATGTTTATATGTTTTGCAGAACTTGAACTTGGGAGGATTGACAAATGCAGTAGTGAAAGGAGTGACATCTATAGATAGCAAGTTTTTCCACATGAATGTGATCCAAGGCAAGAACGTGACCTTGAGCGACATAACTATCACAGCACCAGGAGATAGTGAAAACACTGATGGCATCCATATTGGCCGTTCCGAAGGAGTATCCATTCTCGGTGCAACCATAAAGACTGGGGATGATTGTGTGTCTCTCGGGGATGGAAGTAAGCAAGTTAACATTGAAAATGTGAAGTGCGGGCCGGGCCATGGCATTAGCATTGGAAGCTTAGGAAAATACAAAGACGAACAACCGGTAGAGGGAGTAACGGTGAAGCATTGTACTCTCACTGGCACAACGAACGGTGTGAGAATAAAGACATGGCCAGCATCTCCAGAGGGTATAGCCTCCGGCATGCATTTCGAGGATGTCACGATGGAGAACGTGAGCAACCCCATATTGATCGATCAAGAATATTGCCCATGGAATCAATGCACGGCCGGGGTTCCATCCAAAGTGAAGATTAGTGATGTTAGCTTCAAGAACATAAAGGGGACTTCTGCTACAAAAGTGGCCGTCAAACTCGCATGTAGCAAAGGATTCCCATGTGAGAAAGTAGAGGTGGGCGACATCAATCTAGAATATCACGGAACCAATGGGACTGCCATCTCTGAATGCAGCAATGTCAAACCTACGCTTTCTGGCAAACAATCCCCTGCTGTTTGTGATGGAGCTAGCGGTGGTGGTGGCGCTGCTGCTCCTGCCGGTGCTGCTTCTTCTTAAGCTTTCAAACCTAACCTTCTCGATTGGATACATATTATTAATACATACTCTGTTACACACTCAAAAATAATAGTTTTAGGATACTCAATGTGACTTTAAGCTCTTAGCTTATGCATGTAAAAGCAGAGAGCTAGCCACCAATTTGTTTATTAGTTATCACCCCTTTTTGACCCATCTTGAATTGGTATGCATGGTTGTGTGGTGAAGGAATATAATAATTAATGAATGGTTTGATATTTTGGAGAAATCACCTCAATTTTCTAGTGGAAGGTGTTAATGATTTTTTCTTCTTTGTGCTATCAAAATGGAAAAATCATATGATCGAAGTCCAACAATGAATTGCAATCAAGCGAAAAACGAATGTCAAGATTTACGTGAAAACCCCAGTGGGTACTATTTGTTTTGGAAATAACAAGTACGATACCAAACACTTCACACTAATCATCAAGAAATTCAATGGGTACTATTTTTTTTTTTTGGAAGAAACGTGTTTTATGTTTAATTTATATGTCCCTTATGTTTTTCATTTCTATTTAAACTCGCTTATGTTTTTTTGTTTTGTAATAAAAAAAAAGTAAAAAGAAAGAAATTTGTACAAAAAAAAAGTTTTCTTTTTTTGAAAATGTGTCATATGAAGCAAATTATATTTAAAAAAGTAAAAAAAATTGTTTGAACACAAAAATAAAAAATAAACCAAAAAAATAAAAGTTTGAAGGAAAAAATTAAATAGTAAATTACATAAAATGTCCCCAGTTATAGTTCGTTTTACATATTTAGTCCATACATATCAAATATCAATAATTTATTCCCCAATTATTATACTCCTTCCGTCCCGTTTTAAATCACTATTTTGACTTTTGGGCATATTTAAGGAAGAGAAAAAATAGAGTTGATTTTCCGAAATTGTCATTACTTTTTAGGAGGGATGATGATGAATGGGAAGATAAGGTGGAGAAGAGTGACTTATTTTAAAGGTAGTTTAAGTATTTTACTCTTAAAAGTTTACGATAACAAGTACTCCCTCCGTCCGGAAATGATGTTCCCATATTACCTTTTTTTCGTCTGGAAATGATGTTTCCAGTCTACTTATTTTTTACCATTCTTCCAAAACTACCCTCTTCCTCCTTTTTCTGTCTTTTTTTCTTCCAGTCTTTCGTTTGGTTCTCTTTTCTCCTCATCTTTTTTGTGAAATTTGCACTAAATAGGACTAAAACATAATGACTTTCCTAATGTAGGACTTTAACTTTTTTATTCCCTAAATAGGACTTAATAATGACCTAGTGGGAGGAATAATGTCTAATAATTATGAACATTTACTTGAATAATGACTACTTGATAATGACCAAAGGTCCTACATTGGTAAATAAAAACATATAGTCCTATATTGGAAAAGTCATTATGTTTTAGTCCTATTTATGTAAATTTGTCTTTTCTTTTTCCCCTCTTTCTCCTCATATTTCATTTTTCTTTCTTCTCTCTTTCTCCCATTTGAGCCCCATCCTCTTCATCTTTTTCTTCTAATACTACTACTACTTCTTCTTCTTCTTCTTTCTTCCCCTGCTCTTTTTCCGATCCACACATGTCCCCCTCTTCTTCTTCTTCTCATCATCATCATCATCATCATTTTCTTCTTCTTTTCCTCCCTTTTTCTTCTAGATCTAAACAGATCTGTGACAGAATCACCCTCCGCCTCTTCCTCTTCTTCTTCCCTTCCTCGCAAGTCTTCTCTTTCTTCCAAATCTGCGATGGAGGTGGATGGCAGCGATGGAGGGACTGGAGGTTGTGGTGGAGGCTGACGGCACTGTAGGTGTTAGATGAGAAGGTGGGGTTGGCCGTGGTGGTGGGGGATGACAGCGAGCGACGGACCGACGGTTGTGGTGGGGGGGCTAGCGGCGACCGAGAATTGGTAAAGAAGGTGGGGTGATAAGAGATGCCGGCGATGGTAGCCGAAGGTTGTAGTGGGGGGGCTTGCGGCAACCGAGAATTGGTAGAGAAGGTGGGGGTGGTAAAGAGCTGCCGGAAATTAGTGGAGGGTATTTTGGACCATTCCTCCCCAAAATCAACCACTCTTAAAAATAAGGAAAAGTCAAACCGGGAACATCATTCTCGGAGGGATGGAGTAACAGGCAACTTATTTTGGGATAAAAAAAACAAACAGACAATTTAAAATGGGACAGAGGGAATATTATTTTCCACGAATGGTCCTTTGTTAACATTTTCATTAAAAAACGTGGATAAAATTATAAATTCACGCTCCCCTCTCTCCTCAATTAATTTCTTCCCTCCTCTCGCACTCCTTTCCTAAACTCGTCACGGAATTTGGAGTTCTAAATCCAAAACCAAAACAATCACTCCTCTCTCAATTATTTATCTTTCTAGTGAAACCCAAAATAAAAACTAATAACCTTCATGGGTGAATTTTATGAGTTAGCTTCAGGAAATTGCAAAGAAAACAAACCTTAAAACTCATCCACGAAGATTACTTGTTTCAATTTGGAATTTCACCAAGAAGACAATTAAGGAAGGAGTGATGATTTTAATTTTGGATTCAAAACTTCAAACTCAGCGACGGATTCGAGAAAGGAGTGCGAGAGGAGAGAGAAAGCTTAATTGAGGAAAGAGAGGTGCGTGAATTTATAATTTTATCCACATTTTTAACATAAATGTTAATAAAAGACCATTCGTGAAAAACAATAAAATAATTGGGGACTAAATAATTGATATTTGATATGTAGGGACTAAATATGTAAAACAAACTATAACTGAAGACCTTTTATGGTATTTACTCAAAATTAAAAAATATTAGAAAATAAAAAAACATAGATATAAATAATTGATTTTAATTACAAAAGATATAATATAATTTAATTACAAACAGAAAAATAATAAAGAATATTATAAATAATGTAATCAATGCAATGAAAGTGGGAACTACAGGTATTAAGTGCGTGAAATGATGAGTGTAGTCGGAGCGGATATAGCCACCGTAAATTTAATATAGTGATGGCGTTAATAGTTCAAAGGCCAAACATATTCAAAATCTTAAATTTTGCAATAGTTGCTTTGACAACAAAAAACCAATAGCTACAAATAGCTCAAACTATACCCCTCCATCTGTCCCAAAAAGATGTACTTTGTTTCACAATACCCAAGTTCATGAATTTAGAGAACTTTGGCCACTCTTTTTAAATGCTATCACTGGTAGAGAAATTTACAGAATTTTGGTCATCGGTCTTGTCCGATCAATTTGGGTCACAAAACTATAGTTGGGTAAGCATGCCAATACTGCTATGAATGTGTAACCATTTTACCAATCAGTTGATGAAGCTCCTCACACTTTGCATCCGTTATTGGTAATTCCAGTGTTACCTGTCCGATAAAAACCAACTTAGATGAGGATTTTACCTTTATTTACCTGATAACCTCTAACGTGTACTTCCTTGGTCCAAAATATTGCTGCTGGGTACCCCAATTTTGTGTGGTAAGAACATGTCCTTTTGTTTTTGAAAATATACTCCGGGGTACCTTGAAACATCGGATAACTCAACTAGGAGGGACTTTCCATTCATCCCTCCGTCAAACCCAATTACTCTGTCATCATCTTCTTCTTCTTAATCCTTTAGAGCTCTGGCGACCATGGCATGCAAATTGTTGTAGTCGTCTTCCCGTTGAAGGAGAACTACATTGTCCCCCATGGAGGGCATGTTTGTTGTGGGTGTTGATGATTATTTCGTATCGTACAGGAGAGTCCCATTCTAGATGATTAGCTGGTGAACTGAGAAGGAGGGCGAACAGAGATCAAAAGTTGGAGTTTCAACAAACGCCCGTAGCTTGCTGGGATTTCACCAGGGTTTCTAAAGGAAGATGATGATGTCCCGGGGTATATTTTGAGAAACCATGGGACCTGAAAGTTCTTATCACAAAATTGAGGGCACCCATTGATATCTTTACGCACGAGTTACGATGTTTGGTTGATGTTGCTTTCTATTTATCTTATTTGAATATTAGTATTAGTATAAAATCAAAAGAAATAATATTTATACTTTTCGTCCCATATAGGATTTAGTTTGACGTGCTAATAATAACTGTAAATAATCTAACGGGTCGGAAGAAGTATAGAACTGAAAAAAAAACTTACCTCATTGAAGATTTCACTATAAGATGTTTGCGCAAATCCCTGCAAAACCACACAAGATTTTTGTATCCATCAGAACATATCACTATATCAGTGCAGAGTTGTATGCTCCACGGTGAAATATAAACCATTTCAACTGTCATCATCACAACCCCCTAACCCCAACTATTTTTACCAGTACAAAATAAAATTTAGTGTCAATTAACTATTAATATTTGGTCAACACGGTAAATAAATCATAGTGACTATTCTAGGCCAGATATCCTCCTATGACAGCCTTAGGCCAAAACAATGATACAAAATTCCAATGCCACTTAGCCACCCATTGTTATTTTCAGTTCTTTCCACATACAATACAATGAGACAACGATGAACCCAGGTACAGAGTATAGCCTATAGTCATGCCTCAATTGAAGATAATTCAAAGATTGATATTGTTATATCCGCATGCAAATCATGAAATATGACCTTACTATAATAAGAATTAAACCAAACCAAGTGTGCAACTCATAGTTTTAAAAATCGGACCGAAGACCGAACCGGTAAAGGCACTGGTCGAACCAGTGGTTCTAGCTTAGATCGTAACAACTTTATCAAGTGTCTCAAAGAACGGGGGTTCGAACCTCTTTGGTGTAATTTTTTGAAAAAATATTCACAAAAAAACGAACTGGTGCGACCGGTTCGATCAGTTCAAAGCATATTGCGGACCGAACCGGTCAGACCACCGGTTCATGGTCCGAACCGGCTGGTCCGGTCCGGTTTTTAAAACTATGGTACAACCCTTACTATAAACAATTGTAAAAGAAAAATTTAAAAATGTGAAGAAAGCAAAAACATGTGACAAGTAAAAGGATATCATTTCATATTGAGAGTCTTCTTAGCCAAATTGTCCATCCCATTGTGTCTTAACAGAGAGAACAAAAAGATACCAATTTCTGGAATAGACTACGAGAAGCATTGTGTCTTAACAGAGAGAACAAAAAGATACCAATTTCTGGAATAGACTACGAGAAGCTTCATTCGACTCTTTAATTTTAGCTCGGAATTTATAGATCCCAAAATTCTTCACAGCAAATGCCATCATCAAAAGAACCGTCTCTTTAGCAAGCCCTTTGCGACGACTACACTAGCAACAATTGCAAGCAAAAAAGGGAGAAAATTAAAACTGAAAAACTCAACAAAAATTGAATATGTTTACAAATAAAAAACTAGGCACATTGGGCAGAAAATCCATGAAAATTAATAAATTTAATGTAGAAATTTTAAACATAAAAGTACTGATTCCAATATAAGTGTATGATGATGATCAACATAACTTTATTACTGAATACAACTGAATCATCCATACACAACCTGCAAAACTAAGTAAATTAGTGTAAGATCTAAAATTCCTCATTTTTCTTCGGCTTAATAACTCTTATAACTACTAAGAGATTCAATACATAGTTATGCTCAATAGCAGCAGCAACATACCACAAAAAGTAAGTTCTGGAGAGGGTGTGTACATACGTGTTACCCCAAATATAAAGTAGATAGGCTATTTCCAAGAGACCCAGATACAAAACCACAAACAAAAAAACCATTGAAGAATGAACCAAATACGAGCATAGACAAAAGAAGCATTCAAACCAACTCTAAGAACTAAACAAAGAATGGAAAATGCAGGGCAGCTAACATAGTCAGATTGTTTATTGAACACTTGGCAAAATGTTTAGGCTACCAGGAAATAAGATTCAAATACCTATTTTGCTCAGCTATCATTATTTCAATCTCAGCAATACGGGAATCGTCCAGGTCATTCATGTATATATTCACATCGCCAACCATGGCTGCCAAAATGGCATAGAATCAGGAATAACAATGCAGCAGAAAATAAACATAAAACAAACTCGGCATATCCTGCTCGGGAGTATGGTTGAAGGTAAGACGTATGCAAACCCAGCCGTTACCCCAAGGAGGCAAGGAGTAAATAGACTTTTCTCACAAGGGTCCCAACAAACAGTGAATTGGGAGTGGTAAAATAAACACACACACAACTACCCAAAGCGTTTTCACCCAACCATATAAGGGCTCTGCAGCTCTAATACAGACTCTACAAAATGAACTCAAACCCTCACCAAAACTCAACTATAACTAGGGATTGGTAAGTGAATACAGAGGGAACAAGTCAAAACACTACTAGAAATTATATTCTAAGTGCAACAACTATTCATAAGCAATAAGTGTAAGGGACCCTAAGTGTAATTTTCACAAAATTAAAATACAAAATAAAAATAAACCTTCAACATGAGGGTCTCCATGAAGGAAGTCTCCAACAATCAGATCCTTATCCAGCACTATGAAAGTATGTTCTGCAAATTTATATAAAAAAAAAATGAGAATTAGAATCTATTTCAAATCAAAACAGTTAATTAGAGAGAGATTGAATCAACTGTGCGAAGTATAAATAGAAATTACTAAGGGGATCTTGGGTCCAAGAGAGTTGCATATGGTATTCCTCGTCTAGGGTTAAGGGCTCTGAACCAGTAGCTTGGAGGAGAGAATAATTTTGCATCCAAAGATGGTACTTCAGAACGTGATCTCTCATGTACGGAACCAGCATCACCTTTTCTCCCTCTACGCTCACCGTCATCCTCTTCCCTCTCTAGAGCTTCGCCGCGAGCCCAAAGTAGAAGAAATGAGTCGCAGAGCAACTTCCCGGAATTAAGAAATGAGGAAGGCTGTTTTTTTTCGCCAAATTCCTCCTTTTTTTTAAATTTCGTTTAAAAACTAGTTAAATAAAATTAAAATATTAAACTTAGAATAAATTTCATAAATGCACCCCTATAATAAGGAGTTTTTTAAATTTAGTTCACAATTTTAAAATATTAAGTTTGTGGTTTTAAATTTTAAAAAAAATATTTCATAATTAGTTTTTCAGACCAAGTATGACCAAATATTTTATACCACCAGAAAGACTGATTAAAGAATAGTCAAAATTTGAGGACTACAAATATAATATCTTAGAATAGAAGAGTAAATATGAAAATTTTTTGTTTTAAAAGACTATTTATGTAAACTTAAATCAAAATGAATATTTTTGCTTCCTCTTCTCTAAATAACTCTTTTCGCTTAACTTTCACAAAATTTAAAATAAGATTTGAAATATAAATAAGATTAGTTATAATTTGAGGAGAGAAGTGGAATTTTTTTCAATCACATTGTTCTTTCCATTTAAGAACAATAAAGATTATTTTGAAACACTAAAAAAGAAATAGTATATTTTATTCATGGCAAATTCTTTGGTGATCATTGGGTCTACACTCATTTTATAGGACCTTAATGTAAAAATGTTGAATATATTAGGCATTTTACAAGAAGTAATAAATCCAAACCCAAATCATAAAAATTATTTCAAGTTTTACATATAACTTTAAGATCACAATAGCACAACTTTTTAGTGATATATTTTAAATATGATTGTAGACACTAAAACACTCATAGTCTGACATTGTTATTGACATTTCATAACATATTAAACATAGTGTTTGACATTATATGTTTTATCTGAATATTCCATTTAAACATATTGAATTTCTGTATTTGATGTGATTGGGGTTCTTTTGACACTATACTCGAGTAAAATATTTTGACATTGGGTGGAGGTGCATGTATTGACTCATTGTATATCATTAAATTAAAAAAATATGAATAAATACTATTTGCAATCAAGCTAATAGTTTTATACCCCTAACCCCTTGTAACCCCTTCCCCTATATATGCCCCCTTAGCCCCCTCAATCTGCACCTCTGAATTTGGTTGACTTTGTAGTCGAATTTTTGTTATACCAATAATGTCAATCAAATTTGGTAATGTAATTGAGGTATTGATACATAATCTAAAATATGTGTACTCTTAGCTAAGTTAAGCATTTAACTCTTATTTTAGTATTATTGGATGAATTACAATGTAATATAGAATATTTGTTCATACTTTTCGTCCCACGGTTGGTTAATGTCTTTACTTCTACTAGAATTCGAATTTGGGTGAGCTTTTCATAGATCTTGAGAAATGAGTTTCCTACCACTCGTGCCAAGGGAGAATCTTTTATTCTTCCTTTTCCTTTCTATTTTCGCTTATTTTAATTCATATATTAAATTTCCTATAATAAAATGTATTTTGATGGTAATTATTCTTTAAAATTCAGTTTTCAAAATTTATTTGACAGTGAAAGATATTTTCTAAAAAACAATTAAAATGTATAGCTGAATTTTATTCAAAACAGATATAAAAAACAATTAAAACTTCATATTTTATTTATTCATTTTCGTTTGTAATTTTTTATACATATTCTCTAACAAACTAAATTCATTATGTTCTCTTTAATTATTTTATAAAATAAAGTATTACACGACATATGTAATGCCAAACAGGCGTATTGTCAAAAATTTCACAGAAGTCCAGTTTTTCGCGGGTGTGATCGGTGAAACGGTTATTCCTCTCTCTCTCTCCATTGTCGTCTGACTTGTTCTCCCTCACCGCCAGGACTACGGCGGAGATCACATAGGAAAAGCAGACGAAATATTCCGTCATCTCCATCTCCGCCATCAACGCCGGCCAATTTGATCGGCGATTCCTAGAGGTTATTCTTGCTGGCCGGTCACATTCCGAAACGTTTTAGATTTAAGACTTACACGTTTGGAAAACTGAATCCGATTGAAAAATTTGATCCTGTTCATATGATACCTCTTTTTATAAGAAGTTTAAATATATGTATGGAGTTCTGGGCATTCGATTTCATGTATAGGTTGTGTTGTGTTTCTCCCTGTGATTTTGTGCAGTGGGATTTCTTGTGGCAGAAGGATACAAGTGATTCATTGATAGACTGGTAGATTTGGATCTTGGTAAAAGGGAGGAGAAGAAATGTCCAGCTACGAGGGGGTTCTGGTTTCCGATCCATGGCTTCAGGGCCAATTTACTCAAGTTGAGCTGCGTGACCTAAAATCAAAGGCATGTCAACTGCGTTGATTCCCGGTTCTGCTTTTTCTTTGTATGGAATGTCGTTTGGCTTTTACAAATCTCTTTTCTGGAGATGTGATTGTCATATCAACTTCCTGTAATAGAGTTCTTTTCTTTTATTTTCGCAAGCAAATTTAATGTCTGTTGTTGGTGCCAAAGACCTTGTGGTCCAACGGCATCATGGTGACTCTCTCATGTGGGAGGTCAAAGGTCCGAACCTCAGTGGGGCAGTAACTCTTCGTGCTTAATAGGTTTAGAATGTATGGACGGATACTGCATTGTAATTACGGAGTAGAACTATTAGTGTTCAAAAAGGAATATGTGTGTTGTGGGTTGTCCTGAACTTTTTATTTGGTGCAACAGTTTCTAGCTGCAAGAAATCAGCTAAATAAAGTCACTTTGGGAGATTTGCCAACAATTATGAGCCAATTAAAGGCCTTTAGTAATGTGTTCGGCGAGGGAGAAATTAAGGCCATATTGTCTGAATCATCTTCTGACTTGAATGAAGAAATCGATTTTGAATCCTTTCTTCGGGTGAGTATGAGGTGCTTTTTTCTCTCTTGTTATCCTATGTTGCTATTATAATTCGCATACGGCTATTTTAATGTTTCGTGGTCATTGAGTAATCTCTCTATCGTGATGTTGATGCCCCAAGGGGGCTGATTCTTTTTGGATAGGCATTTCTCAATCTGCAGGCGAGGGCCCCAACGACCTCAGGCAATTCGAAGCTAAAAGCCGCAACGTCTTTTCTCAAAGCTGCCACAACAACACTTCGCCACACAATTAGCGAGTCTGAGAAGGCCTCTTATGTGGCACATATCAATAGTTTTCTTGGAAATGACAAGTTCTTGAAGGATTACCTTCCATTAGATCCTTCAACCAATGCAATGTTTGATCTTGCAAAGGATGGTGTCCTGCTGTGGTAAGCATGAAGGATGTTTTGTAAGTAGTAATCATTCTATTCACAAAAGGCATCTAGTTTAACATCTTCTGTGATTTGATTTGTTTTTTTTCGTTCCATTAATCATTTGGGATCATGCAGTAAGCTCATTAATGTTGCTGTTCCTGGAACAATAGACGAACGCGCAATTAATACCAAAAAATTTCTTAATCCATGGGAAAGAAATGAAAACCACACACTTTGCCTCAATTCTGCAAAGGCCATTGGTTGCACCGTGGTCAACATTGGTACACAGGATCTGGTTGAAGGAAGAGTATGTGAAGATTATCTCAGCTTTCTACTAGAATCTTGTTAAAAAAACATCATCGGTTAATAGCTAATAAATTCCTGATGAACATCTTTGCTCTTTTCCCTTTCTTTTTGATCTTGTTTTCATCAGCCACATCTCATCCTTGGATTGATTTCTCAAATAATCAAGGTAATTTTCCCACTCAGAATTTTGAAAATCAATGAACTGTTGAAGTAAAATCACCCTCCAATATTATTATTTCTCTTATTTTTTTGTTTGTGATTAACAGATACAGCTCTTAGCCGATCTCAATCTTAGGAAAACTCCACAACTCCTAGAATTGGCTGAGGATAGTCAGGTTGCTAGACACTGATTGTTTTTACTTTTTACGCGGTCAAATAGTGCACATTGCGTTCATGCCAGGTTGAAATGATTAAAGTAAACTTTGCAGGACGTGGAAGAGCTCCTTGGCTTATCTCCAGAAAAAATATTACTGAAATGGATGAATTTTCATCTTAAAAAAGTTGGCTACAAGAAGCAGGTTACGAACTTCTCTTCTGATTTAAAGGTGAGGCGTTTCGTGCTAGATGCTTTTAAATTCATAAGGCGGATCGTGAAAAGAACAAAAGTGTTATTGATAAAATTTGCATTCACATATTTTTGTATTTCTCGTGAAGGATGGAGAGGCATATGCTCACTTGCTTAATGCACTTGCGCCTGAACATGGCACAAGCAGCACACTTGATACAAAAGATCCTACAGAAAGAGCAAACTTGATTCTTGAGCATGCAGACAAATTGGATTGCAAAAGATATGTCACCGCGAAGGACATCGTTGAGGGGTCAACAAATTTGAATCTCGCATTTGTCGCTCAGCTATTCCAACGCAGGTCAGATGGTTTGTTTCAAACTACCCTTCGTATATATGAACATTCTTTTTAGCTAGCAGAAGCAAAAAAAATTAAGAAAGAAATTGGTTCCCCTTCAAGAGCTAGTTGGTACGAGGCTTGTTCTATTCCAGGAATGGATTGTCGATAGAAAACTCAAAGTTGTCTTTTGCCACAATGATGACCGACGATGATCAAACCTCAAGAGACGAAAGATGCTTCCGGTTGTGGATCAACAGTCTGGGAGTTGATACATATGTCAACAACTTATTCGAGGATGTTCGAAACGGGTAAGCAGCTAGGCTAAAGTTACATGTTGAGAACAATTTTCGATTTGGTAAAGAATATTCCTTATCCATAACACAACACACAGGTGGGTTCTGTTGGAAGTGCTTGAGAAAGTGTCATGCGGGTCGGTTAACTGGAAGCAAGCCACGAAACCTCCAATCAAGATGCCTTTCAGAAAAGTTGAGAACTGCAACCAGGTCATAAGGATTGGAAAGGAACTGAATTTCTCTCTTGTAAATGTACAAGGAAATGATATTGTGCAAGGAAACAAGAAGCTTATCTTAGGTAATAAATTTAAGCTCATTCTTTCTTCTCCCCAATGGTTAATGAGAAGTAACTTTAAGACTTCATTATTCCGATGATCGTCCTTTTTTTTTTAAATTTCTCTGGTGGCCGGGGGTGGGGTTTTCCGGCCAGCTTTTCTATGGCAGTTGATGAGGTTTAGCATGCTCCAGCTTTTGAAAAACTTGAGGTTTTACTCTCAAGGGAAGGAGATAACAGATGCTGACATTCTGAATTGGGCAAATAGAAAAGTAAAGAGTGCAGGCAGGAAAAGGCAAATGGAGAGCTTCAAAGTATGTCTAAACAATTTTTTTTTATTTTTAAAATATCTATTTGATATATATTCACAAGTAATTTGACAATGGCTGCTTGCAGGACAAAAGTCTTTCAGATGGACTGTTTTTTCTTGAACTTTTAAGTGTTGTGGAGCCAAGGGTTGTAAACTGGAGCCTTGTCACCAAGGGGGTAACAGGTAGAGCATCTAAAAACTTCTAAAGATAATACGAAAATTTTAGAAAATATATACTCTGTTTAAGAAAAAGAACAAAAAAAAGTGCCTATTAGAATTTAGAAGTAGTGTGACTATTTAAAATTATTTGAATGTTATTTCTGGACATTTTAAAGAATTCAATGACATTATTAGAAAAGATTTGAGTGTGGCTTTTTTTACAAAAAAAAAAAAAAAATATTTGAGTGGCACTTTTGAACATTTTAAATAGTTCAATGGTATTAGTGAAAAAATAAAAGGCAGTGGGATTTTGACAAAAACAAATAACTCAGTGGCATTCTTGTCATTGCACTCTACTTCTTAAACTAAGCCACGCATCTAATGTCTAATTTTGCTTACGAAGTTTTTGACCTGGAACAAACACAGTAACAATGTTGTATCCTGGCAGATGAGGATAAGAAGCTAAATGCAACATATATCATCAGTGTCGCTCGGAAAATTGGGTGCTCCATCTTTTTGTTGCCCGAGGACATAATGGAGGTAATTGAGTTGTTCAATTCATTGTCTTCTTCGTGAAAATTAAGCAGGCATTTCCACAATTTTATTTATTTTTTTCGCAGGTGAACCAGAAAATGATTCTGACATTGACAGCAAGCATAATGTACTGGAGCCTAGAGAAGAAAACAAAGGAGTCGGAGAGCGGTTCATCCTCCCCGATGCGGAGTAACAACGAACAACCTCCTACTCCCACAACCAAGGAATGATTTTGAACAAAAAGTAAATAATTTTTCCTCTTTTTTTATATGATACCGGGTGCCATTTTAGGAATGGCATCGCGTCCTGCTTGACCTACATGACTAATGGCATTTGAATCATTTGGTCCAACAAAATTTGACTCACAAAGAACGGCGGACCGAGAAAACCCTGTGTTGATTGTATTGCCTCTTTTTTTTATGAACTTCATTTGTACTGTGAATTTGAACAATGGAGATGTGAAGAAAGAGGTTGATATGAATAATGTGTAAACCGTAAGGACCATAAGGTTTATTTCAGATAATGTGTGACCTGAAGTTTTTTTAACCAAAAATCAAGGGCACACGAAGTATTTTTAAATAATATGGGATCCAAGAGCTCTTATCAGAAAATCAAGAGTGTACCCTGAGTGATTTTCTGTCTTTAAAGGGGGAAAAATATAAACACAACATATGCAAAACAAACTCAGGTACTAGGGCGTACCATTTTATTGGATAAAAGAACTGTCATAAAAAATTACAAAAAATGGCGCCATATGGAGATTATACAGTAACTAATATGCCCCACCCCTACACTTAAAAGCAAACTGTTTTTATTGATGTGGTTAACATTAACTTTCACATTTTCCCCTACAATATACTTCGTACATTATAACTTACCAACTGGAGATTAAAAAGGGCAGCCATGCATTGAGAAAGAAATAATGAACACTGCCAATGAGATCTCACTGCAATAGTCTTCTTTCGGGTTCTTTAGTGTGTACCCATCCTATCGCGTTTAGATGCAGCCAAATGCATGAGCATCTCAAGGCGCTTGTCGAAAAGCAAAGCACTCTCGTCTCTTTTGTCCAGGTCAGCAGCTTCGGCCTCGAGCCATTTCTCTCTCAAGTCATCCAGAACGTTCCCGCCCTCGGCCGGCGCGCTCCTCACCCCGGCTCCAGGTGCGCTTGGGGCGGAGGTGCGGAGCGTTGAATCCCCGGAAGGCGGTGGCAGTGCCAACAGCATTGCCCTGAACTCCGGCGCCTCGGCGAATGTCTCAAAGTTACAAGCCATTGCATCAAGACAGTACTCCCGTATCTTCAACACACCGTACCTATTTGGGCACAAAATGTTTTTTGTTTAAAAAATATATATCAATTCAACGAGTCTCGATGAAATTTAAACCAAGAATGATTTGGGAACAACATTTTCAATTGGCATAATCAAATTTGAAAATGCTAATGTTAAACAAAAGGGCACTTCCACAAGAATGTATCTTGTGTGTGTGTGTGTGTGGGCGCACACGCGTGTGTTTGTGTAATTTGTGTGTATAAAAATATGGGTTTGGGTAGTGGATTAGTGGGTACACAAGGGGTACTACCCACCCTCCACCTTATCCCAAAAAGATGAAAAATGGGTGTCCATACCCTATACAAACTTGTAGGGTGGCCAAAGGTACATGGTGATTGAAAGAACACTTGCTATAGCATACTTAACCAACAACAACTCTATGTAATCCTACAAGTGGGGTCTAGGGACCTTTACCTACCCTTGCGGGGAAGGGAGGCTGCTTCCTAAAGACATGTGGTTCAGCTAATCAAAGAGACGAAATGAAAGAACGAGTTTTTTACTAAACTAGGGCACTTTTTACATCTTATTTTCTGCAATATGATAGTTTAAACTTATTTTCATACATGAGATACTTTTTTACTCTTTAGCACCAATTCAACACAATACTTTTTCCCTTAACATATTAATGCAAGTGAGATCAATGAACCAAAACACCACATAGAAAGCTTGTTGCTTTAATTTGTATTTTAACTGTATTTTTAGTACATTAAATATTTTAGTATTGATGGTAGAATAATAAAAGAAAATATTAAGTGACTTTTTACATTATATATTAAAAAAAATTATTAATAGTTGTAAATTTCATAAATTATAATAAATATAGTTATAAATAAGATGATTATTACAACTAAAGCAGTACCCCTTCTTTTCAAGAATCCCAAATTCGGCTTACGATTTTTGGCTCAAAATATTTTCAATTGAGTTTGTTCAAAACTATATTGAAAAAATCATAACATGAAACCTTTTTTTATAGAACACAGTATTAGATAGTCATTTCTCCAATCAATAACACTTTTCAACCTCTTTTTGATATACTCTTAAAACTATTGTTTTTTCAAACGAGAATATGAACTGCATTGAACTTATCTTTATATGAAATCTATGAATGTTATGCAGTAATAAGTATATAATTATTTTGATATTTAATGTAATGAAATTTATGAATAAACCATTCTTAATAATAAAAAAATGTATTTAAAGTAATAAAATATATCAACTCTTAAACAACATTTAATATTAATAATCTACCTTAGAATTAGAATATTGCTTTTGTTGTGTTGGTGGCTCATTTTTTACATTATTTCATATATTTATCATATATATATATATATATATATATAGAGAGAGAGAGAGAGAGAGAGAGTATTAATAACAAAGAGTAAAATTAATATCAAAGTAACAACTTGTTTTTGTGGTTTAGTGGTTCATCGATCTCACTTTCTACTTGATGTCAATGGGTCCATTCATATTAGCAGCATTTTTAAAATTTTAATATTTTGTAAATATAAAAATAAATGATGTGGAAATGATGATAATGTGGGGAATGCGACAAGTCTACCTTAAGAAAAAATTTGGTGTGGATGCGACAATAAAAAGTACTCCCTCCGTCCCAAAATAATCTTCACTTTTCTGTTAAGGAAAACAATATGTGGCTTAAAAAATTCTCTTTCTTTCTCATCAATTTCAAACCACTCCTTTTTCCGTTTCAACATTTTTCTTATATTCCGTGTAAGTCAAATGCAGGGAGTATATATCCCAAAATTGAAAAAAGTGGGATTATTTTGCATTTTTGGGACAGGGAGTATATATCCAAAAATTGGAAATGCGCTTAAAAGTTAAAAGTACCCTATTTTAGGAAATAATTTTAAAAGTGCCCTATTTTGGTGATTAAAAACAAAAACTCAAAAAACAAGGCTTACATGTCCGACATTATCAGCCAATGGCACAAATTTGCAGGAGACACCATTTCTAGATGAGGCAGCAAAACATCTGCCGCTGCACGCTTAAGGGGAAATAGCAGGTACCTTGAAGCAGCATCAAACAATTCTTCAGCCTGATAAAATTATCAAATTAAAAAAGATCTGATTGTAAGAGAAAAAACCACAAACCTTACGAATGATGGCAGGTTACAGAAATTAACAGCATACCTGATCTGGGTCTATGTCCTTCAAGCCATCCGTGTACCTGAAGTTCAGACAAAAAAATTGTTACTGGTCTATTTCAATTTATTAAAAAAGTAATTAGAAGAGAAGCAAAGACAACCAGAAATAATAACAAAGAGTAACTACTTACATATACTCAATCATTTTCTCAAAAGCTGCACTACTTAGGTCATGCTCCTCAAGGCATAATAATTTACCATAAGGTAAGCCATTATGTCCTTCAAGAAAATCCTTCATGCGAGATAGCCTTGCCTTGAAATACTCAGACCTTGAAGCTAATATCACCTGATGGCACCGAAAAACCGTCTCCTCAACTTTCACACAGACATCTGCAAGATCATCTTCTTCGGAATCATCAATCATCTGCATTGAACCAATACTGGATACAAGACCATCATCAATGTCACTTTCCAGATTCTTCCTTTGATTAGGAGAGTGGGAAAGAGATGTTTGAAGTATCTTGTGCAATGCAGTCGAAAGACGATCTTCTTCTGGAAGTGAAAGTCCCTGCAAGATATACCGCTTTTGAGAGTTATCCACATCCCAGAGGGCTTTATAATTAGCATGTCTTTGATGAATCAACTCTTTCTCCAGAAGAATTCGCAATGACTCGCATTTGCAGACTTTGCAAATTGTGATAAGATCTTCCATGTCATCTACGGCTACCTCAAGTCTGTCAGAATAAAAGAACTGGATAAGGCTGTAAAGTGCGGGGTATGAGAGCTTTTCCCTTGAGAATCGGACTTCTTTGCGATCCTTCCACACTGTTTGGAATTTTTTCTTGAGAAAAGGTGATCTTGCACTCAAAATGACTCTATGAGCTTCAATGGGCTTCCCTTGCAAATAAAATACAACATCTGGTGGAAAGTGGCTCAAGCTGGGACCTCCATTACCTGTTCAATCATTCTATACAATATTTCAGGTGCATCAATTGAAGAGCAGTGTTAAAGGGTTAGAATCTAACAAAGTATCCTTGACAAGAGAGATATTAATGTAATTCATATGAACTGTTTAGACCTTTATAATCTTTAAACAACACCTAATTTTGCATAAAATGTCATTTCTAGTCACCATAACATAGCTAGGTACTATCCCCACACACAGTATGTGTTGTCTGTCAATTCAATTGGAATACATAATATGGAGTAATACTCTCTACATCCCACAAAAAGCTTCCTTACTTGACTTTGACGGAGTTTAAGAGAAGTGTTAGTATGTCATTGATTTTTTTTAAGAGAGAAAATATGTAGTGAACCCACATATTTCTTTTCTTAATAAAGAATGAGAGGTGAAGTTATTTCTTTTTGGAACATCCTATAAGTGTGATGGTTTCATTGTTTTCGGAGAAATGTTTGATGACTCCAATTTTGACACCATTTGTAAAACATACCGAACTTTTTTATTAAAAAAATCAATATTTTCACAATATATCATAGATAAAGTACACATCATATACACAACAAGCCTACCAAACAGGCTTCATAATTTAAAGATTTGAAAGAACAAGAGAAAACAAAAACACAAACTTTGAAAACCTTCTACTTTAACAATCAAAATTGTAGCGGTGTAGCTTCATAAGTTCTTTACGAGATTTGAGGCAGCGACTATTTAATGAAACTCTCATAAGGAAATGTTTAGGACTTCATACTTTTTGTTTAAATATTGGAAACTCTTGGAGGCCTTCCCCTACCAATTCAGAAGCATGAATAAAGAAAATTCAGAAACACAATTCAACGAGAGAGATGTGTTTCCATTAGAACAAAACTTCTTCAGTTAATAGCTTGTACCCTGATAACATGTTTGCTTATTTAAGGAAAAAATACTTGTATGTATACTCCTACAGTTTGTGGAGTATTTACGCATTTTCCCTGTGTTTAGTTGAAAAAATCCTGCATTTTTTTAAAATGTTGAATCTTATTGTGTTGCAACGCAATTCAATAATTTTGAAACACATTGTGTTGCATTTCCTCTACAATTGTGTTGGTTAAAGCAGTGTGTTTTCAAAGTTTGTGTTTTTGTTTCCTCTTATTCTTCTTTCTTATCATTAAATTGTGTTGCAACATTTGTCAAAAATGTTTTGTTGAAACACATTTTGAAGTATTTACACATCTCCCCTGTGTTTTTCTGAAAAAATGTATCTTCTTGTATCAAAGATAAGAAAACCTCTTCACTTATGTGTTTCATTTCTGAAAAAATATTGAATCTCTGGACACACATGAGGGTGCTAACTATGTACGAGTAGTTCCCTTCTCTGAACTAAATAAGGACATACAATATCATTAATCTCAGCATAAGTTTGAGAAACACTAACTGTAGAGAAAAACTTAAAGGTCATAAAACTATGACACTGAAAAATGGAGGTGAAATAATCTTCAAGTGAAAACCCAGGATAGCTAACAAGAAAACAGAGGATACATTTATATGAAAGATGTTACACTCAAACTTTTAGATAGGGATCTATGTATGAGTTGAACTTGGTTAACCCTATGCCTTAAAAAGTTAAATGTACATGGGCGCTTATAAGTTTAGATTCATTTGTCGTTCAAAGTTTCTCGTTTGCATATACATTGAAGGAATTTTGTAGGCAAGCACACAAATTCATTTTGGAATTAACCTACATTGACGGTTTTAGAATTTTATCCCATCATTCCTTCTTAATTGGGTAAGCACGCGACATAAAAGAGTTGTCTCTATGTTTTTTATAAGAATGTGTCATGTTAACCAGTTCTATACAATTAACCGCACTACAAATTTAATTCCATGGATCCCAACTAGTTAAGATGAAGGTGCCAGTGATGATGATGACTGATGAATGCCAGCCCAGCAAATAACTTACAAAAGTAAAATACTTTCTTTCGAGTAGATACGGTTATAGGAAGCACTTGGATATCAATTACTCGGCAGAACGGTTTGCTTTTTATAAACCAAATTAATATAAAAATCAATATGTTCGAATTGGAGGGCTTGGTGACTGGTGAGATTACCTGGAATTGAGGAGTAAGAACCCTGGGATTGTCGCTCAGCCGCAAATCCACAAGCATTTGCCGAGCATCCCAAGAAGGTGTCCCTGAGGGCGGCCTGCAAGGGGGCGAGAGGGGGCGGTCGAGCCTCAAACGCCTTGAGGAGCTTGCGAACCTTCAGATTCAGGGCGGCGTAGTGACAGCGGTCGCCGTCGAATGTGTGCTCCGAGCAAATCGCGCCGCTCTCCAGGAGCATCCTGGCCGCGTCGAGGTGGCCGGCGAGGCACGCGTAGTAGAGCGCGGCGGAGTCCCACTGGTCCCTGGCGTTCACGTTGACGCCGGTCTCGAGCAGGTACCGGAGCCGGTCGACGTCGCCGGCCCTAGAGGCCTCGAAGACATCTCCGTGGGGCACCTTCTTCAGAGGGACTGAAGACTCCAAGTCCTCCGGTTCCAGATCAATGTCGTCCAAATCCGTCATGGATATATGGAGAAGAAAACCGCTCAGCCCAGAAGCATTTCTATATTCCTCGTCTCCAAATGTTAAATTAGGGGCCGTTTGGTTGTCCCCCAAATCACCAATATGTACAATATTTTTGGAATTTTTTGAATACATGCTTTTTAGAGTTATGTGTAACAAATTTAACAATGTAACATAAAATGAATGCACCACTTCACGTTTCTATGTAATATTAAACAAAATCAATATAGCATGTCAAACAATGCAAACATGCATCCTCATTAATGAAACTATATGAATAATTAACTATCTTCTTTATTTTTAAATAAATTTAATTTTAATATTCACGCGATCAAATTATATTTTTTTCCTCACTTATTTATTTTAATTTCTCGTTACAATAAAATTTTGTCCAAAAATCAAGCCACATTTTGTGAAAAATATGAATGCCCATGTAATAAAAATCTCAATATGCACATAACACCTTGATGGGAGCACAGCACATCAATATATGTACAAGAGCCCGGTTCCATGGCCACTGGATTCCAGTGATCACGAAAGCCACTGTCCCCTACGAAGCTCCGTTCATAAAATTGATGATTCCTACCCCCCTAATCCCCCCGGTAAACCCCCCGCCAAGTCCCGACCCAAACTAATCACCCCACCTACGTCAATTGCACCTCGTAAGTATAAAGTCAAAACTTTTGACTTTAAAGTCAATTATACTTACGAGGTGCAATTTGACGTAGGTGGAGTGATTAATATGGGTCGGGACTTGGCGGGGGGTTTGCCGGATGGGTTAGGGGGTAGGAATCATCAATTTTATGAACAGAGCTTCGTAGGGGGGCAGTGGCTTCCGTGGCCACTAGAATCCAGTGGCCATGGAACCGGGCCGTATGAACAAAGTATGAGTAAATAGTATATGAGTCCATAACATATTCTACCCAGAAAATATTTAGTTGAGAAATACACAAGAGTAGAGTAAATATAGAGGTGTTCTTAAGCTCGGCAAGAATCGGGCTAGACAAAAACATGCCCAACATTCCAGCCTGATCTCTGTGAGATGGCAGAGAAAGGTTAATGAAGAAGAACAATGATTCACCTAGCCCAACATGATCTGATCTAAATGTTTTGATCTGATTTAATCTTATTTGAATAAGAATAAATAAAATGTAGTCCATAATAGGAATTTGATTATCATACCTCTTATTTGATTTACATTTTCTAGCTACTAATTTAACTCAATCCAAAATATATGAATGAAATTGATTTGTGAGCATACCTACGAGGACTAAAATATGTGTTAACTCGGTAAACTACTCCATCCATCATAAGATAGAGTTCTTCACCATTCAATGATCAAATCATTCTTCATTATTTATTTTACAAACTAATATAGCCAATCACCTCATGTTTTTTTCTAGAAATCTTTACATGTGTTTAAAATATCTAAAAAATTTACTTTTAAATTTCATATGAATTATAAAATAAATTTAAATAAACATATATTTAAATGAAAATAATTTCAATCAAATGTAATCAAATGTAAGTAGGGGCAGTCCAGTTTGTTGGACCAACCCGTTAGTCGTTTATTAATTACTTATTTTAGGGGCAACCCAGTCTGTTGGGTCGGCCGGTTAGTTTGTATATGGGCTCAAACCCTAACCCTAACTCTTATTATTTATACCCCTCTTTTTAGAAGAGGAATTTAGAAGAGGAAGGAGGAGGAAGGAGGCTAATACACCACACACCACACAATACATGGATCTTCTTCATCCTTATTCTTCTTCATACACTTATTTCTCCTTCTTCCCTACTCTTGGATTCCATAATCCAACAATGGTGTTTTCTTTGAGAGTGTCGAACGCATCAAACATCAAACATGCTCTCAAATTTTTTTTAACCAAATTCTTTTCATTATTTAATTTTTTTTCCTTCTAAGATCTCTCGGTGGTGATGGCCTTCGGCCTGAAGGTCATAATTCAGCCTCCAGTTTACAATTGATATTGCTTGAGAAGCTTCAGATCGAACCCGGACGAAGCTCTCCCTGCCGTCGCCGACGCCCAGCCAGTGATCTGGCTGCTGCAGCTGCTCTGGAAGTTGCGGGCAGTCAACAGCGAGGGTCCCCCTGCGACCCCGAGTTTCCGACGGCAGTCAGCAGCGTGGATGTTCTGCGACCCGCGAATTTCCGCCTAGGGGAGAGACCATTAAGCTCCGTCAATGCGCCTCCCCAGCGACGGTGGCCCCGATAAACTCCTGAAGCAGCACTCTCATGGTCTTCGATCCAGAATCTGAAGAGACCCGACCCAAAGCAATTTCTTCAACGGATAGTGGTGAGATCCAAGATGCGGATCTGAATTTGAAAAACAGGGGCCGAGACCAGCCATTGCTTCTTGCATCGCCGCCCAATGCTCCCTTTGAACAACGACCCCCCGCCAGTTCGCCGGAAGTCAATTGGCAGCAGATCCCACAGATCCAGCATTCTTGGGAAAAAGTTCCCCTCGGGTTCATTTTCCTGGCGCCGGCAACGGAGGGAAGGCCGACATGCCAATCGAACAGATCTCGTCTGGTAGCTGATTAGACATGGACTGATGTTCTGAATTCCAGCCCATAGATGAGATAACCCCAGGCAAGTGGCACTCTTTACTCCCCCCTTATTATTGCTCGGTATCATAAAAAGAAAGTGGGTCAGGTTCACACTAATTGCTACGTTCACAAAAAGAATACTCCCAACCAATGCAAGTATTTCTCTCTTGAGAAATTGTACTACGTATTTCCCTCCCAACCCTATCCCTGAGGTCATATTCTTTCCACCTGATCTGAATAATTCTGATCTGAATATAATTATATTTAAAGTATTTCTGGTTTGATCTGATTACATTAAGAAAAAATTACTCCCTTCGTCCCAATCTTGATTACGATTTTATTGTCTCTCTCATCTCGATAACTTTTGTTTATTTGAGTATTTTCATTTATTATTTGATAAAATAAAATACTCTTGTCACCTCTTGTTTTGTAGAATTTATCGATACATCAATTTATAAATAAAATAATTTCAAAAGTCGGGAGAATTTATCTTGTAATTCCTAATTTGTAATCAAAATTGTGACAAAGAAAATAAATAAAATGAATAAGTTGAAGACTCTCTAACTATTGGGAAAAAAACAAAATTATGAGTAAAGCATTGAAAATATAGCAAAATTGGACTTTTATGTTTTTATTCTTAAAATAGGAGTTAAAGTGGACTTACATTATCAAACATGGTCATGTACATTACCAAAAAGTATAGTAATGTGCACATGTAGTGTCACATTATTATCACATTACCTCAATACGAACTCTTATTTCAGAAATAAAAATATAAATTTTTATTAAGATACTTTTTTCTTTAGTCTTATTTAGGGTGATTTTTCCTAATTATTCACCCCCACACACTGATGTTCTAAGTGATGAACAAAGTGATTGGGCCAGGCCTAAACATACCAGACCCTGTAAAACACCCGACTCCTACGGACAACGATCACAACATAAGATCCCGAAGGAAAAGAGGCGATAGAGACGAAGAAGGAGCAGGGGACGAAGAAGACACGCTTCAAGGTATAATCCCATGGCCAAAACGCTTCAAGAGTACACAAAACGCGATGGTTTTATCGGATTTTTTTTGCATTTGATATAACTGTTACGGTGTGTTGTTCCCTATATCTTTGTTTTTAATGGTGGGGAGGATAATGTTGTGTTGTTCACTGGATGGGTTATAACTTATATCATGTCCGAATTGTAAAATCTGTCGTTTGAGCCGCGGTTGAATTTATGGTTTCACTGATGTTCATATATGATTTCGATAGAGTTGGTTTGCAAATGTTGTGAATTTGTAATCACATTGTATATTGAAAGAATTATTGACTGACCTGTGTCTATTTGTGACAGGTCGCCTTTTCAATTTTCAAGATGGAAAATCTGGAAGGTAATGATATCTTCTTTCCTGCCAAGTATGAGGACGAGAAAAAAATTTTCACATCAACAATTGAAGGTCTACTATCCTCGGAAGAACCTCCTAGCAAGAGATTTCGACTAATAAAAGGGAAGCCACAAGTTATACAAAAGGGCAGGGTGAAAGAATCTACCGTTAAAAAGTTTGATACTATGAAGCCGGTGTATCCTGATGACATGGAAGTGGTTCCTATAACCATTAAGAAGGGCGAATACATCGATGTGATATCCTTATTGTCATCAAACAAGAGTAGTGATGCTAATAGCAACTACCTCCTTCGTAGCAAAAGCTTTGATCAAGTCCAAGTTGAGAGCCTTAAAGGAAAATATGTTTGTCTCTGTTGTTTCGTGGTGCCCGTTGTCCTTGATGGTTGTCAGGCCTGTTTAGCCCAAAGTTTTTCCCAGTTGTCCCATGAGCTGTCTAGTAGAAACGACTTTGAGATGGTCCTGGTTATTAAGATGAAGCAACCCTGGAAGGATGAGAAGGCTGTTTTTGACCACTTCATGTCAGCTTTTAATTGCCTTGTAGTTCCATATGAACATGCATTTCAACGAGACAAAATATGCATGTCTTTAAAACGACTTTCATTTGGCTTGGGTGGATTCATCGTTGATCCCAATCAGAATGTGGTGCAAGAACGCATTTGGTGCTTGCATCATTGCGGTGGTGGTGCATTTCCATTCACTGATGACAAGCTCCTTCTTTACTTCAACAGAAATTGGGAAAGCAAGTCCATTGAGGAGCTGTTGTTGGCGATTCCTCTTCTTTACTTCTTCACAAGGTAAATGGACAAGCAGAGAAGTTATGCATTTCAGCTCTCAAAACAAAGTTTGTTGTGTTATACTTGTGCGCAAATGGTTGGGGAGCTGATATCCCTTTACTAGAGAAGGTTTGTCAGCATTGTGAAACTTTAGGGCATGAGCTTGAGATTGTGTTTGCATGTATACCTTATCAAGGTTACAACCCGGAGGTATTCCAAGAGGTTATAGAATCTGTTTTGAAGAAGCGCGAACTATCCTGGTGGATTTTACCCTTCAACAACACAATATGTCATAGGTTAAACGAGCTATTTCCTGTTGAGTTAGGAGATATGTTTGTAATTATTTCACATGGAGAATGTGTAGAACCGTATGGAAAAGAAGTGATACTAAATCTAGGGATCGATACATATCCTTTTACCAGAGATAGTTTTATTCGGAATACTTTTAAGAGATTGAATGAGCTCAGCTTGGAGTCCTTACTAGAGAGATCGACTGGAAATATTCATCGCGGGAATGATCCTGATGCTCACCTTTCTGTGACTTCTCTTCGGGGCAAGAATGTTCTTCTTTATGTTGGCAGGGTTGAGAAACGCTTAATGCATCTCGCTGATGTCAAGAAGTGGTATAATGAAATTAAGGAAAAGATTCCAGATTTCGAATTGCTATTTGTTCCTTTAGACACATCTATATCAAAAGAGGGTGCTGAACGTATGCTGTCTATGCCTTGGTTTGTATGCTCATCTGATCCAGCTCTCTCTGAGTTTGTGACTTTGTGGGCGCCACCTTAATCATTTCAGAGTACTTTCAGGCGGAGGACCTGTTTGCATTCGGGCCAAATGGTAGGATTTGTTCGATTGACGTACTTCATATCCTATGTTGGAAGGGGATATCTAGTTATCCATATGTTGGGGACCTTGTGGAAGAGATATGTAGTAAACTAGCAGAGTCTTTTGACAATGACTATCTGTCTGAGATGGCCTGGGGCATTCCAAGTCTTCTAAGAATTGGAAAATATGAAGATCTGAAGATATGAAGTTGGCGTGGTTCAATCTTTTTTCAAGTTTGATGGCAGGTTAGTAGAAAAGTTTATGCTTTATATATTGCTCATTGACGACTGTGTACTTATGCTCTTTTAGTACTCCCACCGTCGCGCAATATTTGTCGAGTATTCCTTTTTGGGCCGTCCCACAGTATCCGTCTACTTTCTTTTTAAGGAAACAAAAAATGATATGAAATGTTCATTTTACCCCCACTATCTACTCTCTTTATTGTTCATATCTACCTTCATTATCCTCTATCACTGGTCTACTTAATGTTCTATTTCTTTCTAGTTTTTGGTTGCTTTAGTAGCTGTTAGTTTTTACTGCTATATGTTGCTTGTGGCTGGTTATTATGAAAAGGTTGAGGAAAAGGAGTGAATAGGGTCAAAACTATAATTTTCACAGATCTACATGCCAATAATCAAGTCTCCAGTCAACTTGGTGGAATAGATTGTAAATAAAAAAACATAGCATGTGTAAATGAGGATGAGGTACTTCAAGTGTTGTTTTGTTGCTTCTTTATCTGCATGTGCTGCCATGTTATGCTCTCATTAGTTTTGTAGTTTGTATTTGAGGTTGAGGCACAAGTATTAGCAAGTACAATGTTAGTAACAGAAAGAAAACCAACAACTTATAAGTCTAAGATATTGGAGTTTGATACATGGAAACCAAGTCGTGTGTTCTCGTAGGTAGACAATCACACCTGGATACCAGTTCCGCTCCAATCATTGGCCCGCCTTATTTGCAGTTTTTGAAAACATTTATGTTTATGCAGAATCTCTATTTTGGTGTTCATCCCCCTGTGATTGTGCACATGGCCTAGTGCTATGCAGATACTCGCATCGCATCTGGGTGACGAAGTATATGTGGTTTGCTGAAACCAAGCATACGAAACTCATGCAATTAGGATGGAAATGTGAGATGAATAATTTATGAATCTCTATCTCTCTCTCTCTCATTTTGATATTTTGTTTGGTATCTATCCTAAAGCTTCCTGAACAACCTGGGTATTTTTGGGTTAAATTTTTTAGTGTATACTCCTGGGTAATTTTGGGTTAAATTTTATCATCTCATTGTGAGACACTCAGAATACCCTAGAGTAATTTTGGGTTAAATTTTATCATCCCTTCACGTTCTTACATTTTCCATTTCCTTAAGTTTTTCAAACGTGTATGCGGTAAATTCCTAATTTGGATGCGTTCTGTTATTAATTGTTTCTCATTTTAGGTAGTTTTGTTTCTGACTCGCTGATTATGGTTTCTTGATGATTGCTAGTGGTCTTTAGTTTGTGAGTTCCAAACTAGGGTTTTGATGATTTGTGTTAATAGGAGTTATACTTAAGGTATAGTTAGTGGTTGAAAACCATCATTATGTAGTGATTAGATTTTGGAATCTGATTAAGAACTGCTAAGAATGAACCATAAAAAGTATGAAAATCTATTTATTTGTATGTTTAGTTATCTACTTCTTTTCCTTCTTTTTTGTTTGCATATTTATCTTTTGTTTCTTCATTATTTATCTTTTGCAATTACAATAGTTTGTTTATCAAAATGAAATTAGGATTAGAAGTATTTTGGAAAATTATTTGATATCTTCATAAATAGGAGTAACTTTTGAACCATCCCACATGGGCTAAACACTTTTACCCAAACCCTTAAAGCACCTTGCTTATGCATAATGAAATCAAGGAAAAGGTTCCTGATTTCAAATTGGTATTTGTTCCTTTAGATACATCCATATCAAGTGAGTGTACCAAACGCATGCTGTCTATTCCTTGGTTTCTGTGCGCATCCATTCCTGCTCTTTTTAGTTTGTGGCCACTACCCTGTTCATTTCAAAGAACTTTCAGGCGGAGGAACAGTTAGCATTTGGGCATGGCAGAATTTCTTTGGTTGACATATATCATATCCTATATGGAAGGGAATATCTAGTTATCCATATATCATATCCTATACTGGAAGGGAATATCTAGATATGTAATAACCTAGCAGAGTCTTTTGACGGCTATATGTGTAGCATGGTCTTTCTAAAGAATGATACCAGTTTTAATTTGATGGATCACTCTTATTTCAGCAATGCGCTGTATTTAAGATATCATTTTTGTGTTTTGTTCATTCCCAAGTGGTAGGGTGGTAGCTATCCTAATTTTCTAAAGTTTCAGTCAAGAGATCACCTAAACTGTTACCGGACTTGCTCTGAATTAAATACATTTTTTTAATGCAGATTCGGGAATAGCTGTATCAAGATCTTCAGGAGTACTTTCTAGTCGATGACTCAACAACAACGACCGAATCACCTCCTCCTTCCAGTTCCTTCTAGCCCGACCCTTCCTCCACCCCAACCCATTATTGTAAGCATCTCGTATCTCCGCATCGGGGACTCAGTGCTATGCTGCTTCACATCACCAAATCATCTCAACCTAACCCCAAAACTCTTTCCATTGTTCAAAACCGACCCTAGATAATTAGATATACAACAACCCTCTAGGATTCCATAAAAGTAGGATCTTTGGAGGATTCCATCTACGTAGACCTTAATGCTATTAGAAAGTAGAGAGATCATTGCCAAGAGACCTCTTGAGCAATTTCAAAATCATATAACATAACATAAAAGATCAAAATGCACACTGAAGACACAGAAAACACTAGGAGACAAAAGACACACGCAACTACAAGCATATTATAAAGAATTCATAATATTTTCCAAAGATCATATAGCACGCTGAAGGCAAGAGAAACACAAAGAGACAAAACACATAAACAACTGCAAGCATATTCTAAAAAACTCATAATATTCTCCAAAATTATATACTCCCTCCGTCCCTCATAGATCTTCTCAATAGCCCTTTTTTTCTGTCCACAATAGATCTTCTCATTTCATTTTTTAACAATTAAAATATCATAACTACCCCTACTTACTTTATTTATTACACCTCATCCACCTCATTTAATACACTCCACCCATATTTCATTAAGGGTATTATGGTAAACTTTCATCTTTTTTCATCTCTCCTTAAAAACCACCAAAAGTCAAAATGAGAACATCTTAGGGGGACAGAGGGAGTAATATGATGTCTTGTAACGCCTGTGCTAAACTTATGTTGTGATGTTACTGCGTTCAAGTCTTCAAGGTTTATTAGCTCTTTGTGAAATCCATTTGAAGTCTGAGTGATACGCACTGGTATGAAAATTTCCTTTAACATCCTTTCATTCTCTTCATTGAATCTTGTTATTCATGTGGTGACACCAAGTCTTGTAGTAAACTCGTCACGCAATCCATATGCAGGTAGACAATACAACTCTTCGTCGCCGATCTCTTTGGTGCTCAACTCTTGAGTGCAATTCGCTAGTGTAAGAGTTGAACAAGAAAAGAAGCATGATAACTTTTAAAGCGAATGAATGTGAACGGAAGAAATGATATAATAAACAAAGAGCGCAATTACTCAGGTATAAGAAAATCTTATCTATATCCAATATTTGTGATTTAAAAGTCAACTCTTTGGCTACACTACATCTACCGTGAAGATAGTCTAATTACACATGAAATAACCATGGACGTGTCATTCTCTGGTCTAAAATCTTTGGATTGAATCATATTTGGAGTCTTGCACACTTGACCAGACATCACTTATTTGAACAAAGTCTTATTTTACATACTGAATAATTCAAACGAAGCATATAGATAACAAAAATATGCTTTGTTTGAATTATTCAGTATGTAAAAGAAGACTTTGCCTAAATAAGTGCTATCTGGACAAGTTTGCGAGACTCCTAGTATGATTCTGTTCAAAGATTTTGGACTAGGAAATGGCACGTCCATGGTTATTTCATGTGTAAGATAAACTATCTTCACGGTGGATGTAGTGTAGCCAAAGAGTTGAATCTTAGATCACAAATACTAAATATAGGTAATATTTTCTTATACATGAGTTATTGCGCTTTTGTTTATCATATCATTTTTCCTGTTCACATCCATTTGTTTTAAAAGTTATCGTCCTTTTTTTCAACTCCTGCGGTAACGAATTGCACTCAAGGGTCAAGCACAAAAGAGATCGGCGATAAGGAGTTGTATGGTCTACCTGCATACAAATTGCGTGACGAGCTTACCACAAGACTCGATGTCACCACAAAAATAACAAGCCTCAATGAGGAGAATGAAAGAATGTTGAAGGAGATTTTCATACGAGTGCGTATCACTCAGACTTCAAATGATTTTTACAAAGAGCTAATAAACCTTAAAGACTTGAACGCAGTAAACATAAGTTTAGCACAGGCATTACAAGACATCCTGTTATATGGTTTTGGAGAATGTTATGAGTTCTTTATAATATGCTTGCAGTTGTTTGCATCTTTTGTCTCCTTGTGTTCCCCTTGCCTTTAGCATGTTATATGATCTTTAGAAAATATTATGAATTCTTTATAGTGTGCTTTTTGATTTTTTATGTTATGTTATATAGTTTTTATATTGCTCAAAGGGTCTTTTGGCAATGATCTCTCTACTTTATAGTAGGATTAAAGTCTGCATTTTGAACTAGTATAGCAAATTATGGAAAGAGTTTTAGGGTTAGGTTGACATGTGAAGCAACATAGCAGCACTAAGGATCTGGTGCGGAGATACGAGAGGCTTATAGTAATGGTGGTGGTGGAGGAAGGGTCGGGCTAGAAGGAACTGAAGAAGTGATTAGGCCGTTGTTAAGTCGTCGACTCGTCGTCCAGTCCTTTTGGTAAGCCTAGTCCTTTTGGTAAGCCTGAGACGGAGGTTCCAGGTACATCTCAAGCGGAAAAATTACCAATATCACACCATGAAAATGTCTACGAAGGTGCACCAAATAAAGAGAAAGACGGAAAACAGAGGACACACAATTATCCAAATAGTAATGACAATATGTAATGTTTATTTATAGAAAAGTATTACTTTACTCATAAATTGGGGTGGGGGAGGATTTTCAAGATCTCATTATGAAATAAAAAATATCTTTCCCATGAACTATACTCTAAATAAAATAGACCTGACATATTATTTTCTTTTAGCTAGAATGTTTTTCTCAATGTTACCTGGATTGATAATGAGATTATCAAATTCAATTGCATAATGTGTGGTCAAACTTTTTGAGAAAAATAATAGGAACACAAAATGATTTCCTTAATGGAATCCAGTCAAAAGGGTATATTTTGAATTGCCTCTTGATTGGAAGCAAATTGTTTCATGTTCCTAAATTAGTGGTCCTAAATAAGTTTGATCCCACCTTATGCAATTGAATTTGATAAATCTCACCCTCGATCCCAATGAAAAATACATTCTAGCTAAAACAAAATATGTTGAAATAAATATGTTAAGATTTTTTTTACAAATAGTGTAGTTCATTGGAAAATTATCTTTTAATTCATTATAGGGTCTTGAATGTCCTATGTTGCGCCCCTATTTATTAGTAAAGTAATTCTTTTCTATAAAATTAACATTACATGCTCTCATTACTAGTGGATAACCATGTGTCTCATCTTGTTTTCCCATTTTCTCTTCATTTGGTTCATCTTCAAAGACATGTTCCTGATAAACAGATGTTGGCAATTGGTACACTTCAAACAAGAATCTTCGTGCGGGGCTTACCGACTATAATGTACCTCAAATCTATGTCCAAAAATAGAAAAGGAGAAGCAAATAAATTTGCCTTTATATTACAATTTTCTTAGATTAATAAAGAAATTTACATATATTTTTTTATAAACTATTAGATTGAGTCAAAACATTATATAGTAAGCTTCTTACTGCATAAGATTAAAAAAGATGTTAAGCATATCAATTTGAAATGTAGTAAAAAAAATTCGGGCCATTAGTATTGGTAGAAAATATCCATGATATGTGAATATTACTCGACAATAATATGTTGAAACACTATATTCTTTATATTCAAAACCCTATATTTACTGGATAATACGTGATTCAACCACCTTAAAAGACACCATATAAGAAACGTTAAAAAAGCTAGAACACAGAAAAGGTGACTTAAATATGGGAGAAAGACCAAAGTAGGACTAAAACATTGAAAATATATCAAAATAGGATTTCTATGTTTTTATTCCCGAAATAGGACTTACATTACCATACATGGTCATATACATTACCAAACAAATATAGTAATTTGCACATGTACACTGTCACATTACAACAGGGCAAAGTCACATTACCACAGTTCAAAGTCCTATTTCGGGAAAAAAACATGGAAGTCCTATTTTGGTACTTTTCTCAATGTTTTAGTCCTATTTAGGGTGATTTCTACTTAAATATTACGTGTCAAGCGTTCTTAACATGTTTTTAAGAGCAAAAAATACCTTATTTTTGTTGGAATAAATAAATATGAAAAGTGTTAAGTTTATTTTAAAATAATAAAACATTCGTTATGGTAAGTGATAATTTAAATGTGTTTTGACACTAAAAATAATTACACTTGAATTACTTTGAGGATGCAATAGCTTTGGTTTTTTGTTTGGATGTACCATGTCTCAAGAATCCCTTCCACATTTCTATCAACAATCCAAAATTGAGTTTAGACATGGAAATCATATTTTTGAAAGACTAAATTTACAGAATTTATATTTCATGTTATTACTTACCATTGAAAACCAATGAACAAATGTTTACTGTCAAAACTCACATAATACATGTTTATTCAAATTGCATGCTCCTTATAAGCATTGAAAGATCAAATAAACTCTCGTCACATGAAAGTATTTTCAAACCATAATTCCTTCTTTTAAGCCCCCCCCCCCAAATCATTTACTCTTGAAATGGTTAACTGTAGCATTCATATTGAGCTTCATATTAAGACACGACGAAAGAGAATTAAGGAGAAAAGTAGATTCTCTAAAGAGGAGAGTAATTTGAGAGGATATTATAAAAGATGAGTAAAAGAGGTGACAATAGACACGCATGACAATGTTAGCTAACCAAACATCCTAACCTAATACTTAAATGTCAAGGTATAATAGTATCCTAAAGTCCAAGCAAAGAAAAAAAGCCCTCTATTTCCCAATAGAGCAAGGGCTTCTTTGAAAATTTCCATCATCTAGTGCTTAAATATTTGCATGGAAGCATTTATGCACCTAGAACGTGTATATATAAATAAAAAAAGAATGGTCTCAAGCCAAATATTTTCTATGGATTTAACCACGGACACGAAGGATCATATAAGGTATCGAACGATTAGAACGGAACAAAATTTGCTCTCAATCACTAAGCGTCTGTTTGGTATACAGAATTGATGGAATTGAAATTGAATTGGAATTGAAATTCCACGGGATTCAATTCCATAGAATTGAATTCTGTCAATTCCAAATCATTTTTTGCACTATCAATTCCAAATCCACATAATTTTTGTGCTACCAAACACCAGAAATGGAATTGAAGTCCTCAATTTCAATTCCATAGTTTGAATTCCGTATACCAAACGGGGCCTAACGGATTTTGAGAGGGAAAGGAAAAAAATGAATAGGAATACAATTTTCTTGTTTGGTTAGAGAGGAAAAGAAAAGAAAAGTGGAAGGAAAAGAAAAAGAGAAGACAAAATGTACTAAGAAGAAAGTAAACCAAATTCCTCCCATTTTGGTGAGGAAAATGAGAGAAAACCATTTTCTTTTCTTTTCGTACCAAATTCCTTGACAATTGTTTTAAGACTTTCGGTGTTTGACAGTATCCTATTCAAACTGCGGGGAAATAGTAGGAGATACTTCGTATATACTACGGAGTACCAAGTATATCTCTAGAGTGATTGTAATTGATTTGTATTGATTATGTTAAATATTAAAATTACTTGTAATTTATTTGTATGGATACTCTCCTTGTATTTTCTCCCCTATATAATGGGGAGACATTGATCAATAATGAGCAGGGATGATTTTGTACCAATAATCCAATTGTAATTTTAAAGGTTTAGAAATTAGAAAGGTTTTTACTTGAAATTATGATTATTATATTGATGATTGAAAATGTGAAAGGAGAACAATTTTAGGGTTACAATTCCAAGCATATGAGAGGTGACTAAAATGTAAATGAAATAATAAAAGGTGTTACCCTAGATATAATAGAAAACCTATAAAGAATAACCTAATTGTACTACAATGGCTCAAATAAAGTATTTATTATTTGGTTCTTTGAATGATTTTTATAATTATACTAATACTCTATGTGTTTGAAATGAAGAGTTTTAGGGGGTGTTTGTTTTTTGGCCAGAAGAGCTTCTGGCCTCTTTTGTCTGCGCCGCGCAGACGCGCGCAGATGCTGAGCTCTGCAAATTGTTTGTTTTTTGGAAGACATTTCACTCAAACTCCTGACATCTTCTTGGAGAAGACATTAACCTATGTCTTCTAACATCTTCTCCATTTTTTTCTTCTACTTCTCTTCACCACCACCACCGTCAACCACCATCACCACTGTCCACCATCACCGCCACCGTCGTCCACCACCGCCGCCACCATCCACCGCCACCATCCACCGCCACCACTGTCCACCAACGCCGCCGTNNNCCACCGCCGTCAACGTCCACCACCACCCTTCACCACCACCCTCCACCACCACCACAATCGTCCATACACCACCACCGTACACTATCACCATTAATTTATATAGCAGTTTACAGACATTAAAAAACAAACAGTCTTCTTCTTGCAGGCCGCAGACCTTCGGTCCACCACTTCTCCTGCAGATGTCTACAGTAGTGGTCCGCGGACTGCAGACCTTTTCCTGAAGAAAAAACAAACACCCCCTTATACTTAACTAGATCTTCAAGTTTGATCACCAGAGGAAACTTACGAAGAGTGCAATGTTGAATAAGAAAGGAAAGAAAGAATCGTTTGCTCAAAAAGGTAACTTTAATTTATTTAAATATGACTAGTTTATTAAATTGTTGAAATATAAGCCACAAATATCCACTCTTATTTGGCTTTGGAGTAAGATGGAGTAAGGGAAAATGGCTCTTAAACTATCTATGCTTCTTTTGATCAATGCAACTTTTGACACTGTCATTTAGAAACAACCGCTTTATGTTTTAAGATAGGGATTAAGGCTAATTAAAATTAATAAGTTCATATTATCTATAAAAGTAATATTTCCCTGTCGCACCAAAGATGATAGAAAATGTAGAGATTACAATACAAACACTAGTTTATTAGTGAATAAATTTAGACTCCATTCTTTTTAATTGTGAATGATACTCTCTTTGTCCATACTCCCTCCGTCCTGAAACTATATTCCTGCTTTGACTTTTTCTTATTTTTTAGGACGGGTAAAACACCCAATTTTCATTTTAAAGTGCAATTCTCTAAGAAACAAGCAATTCTCGAAGGCTATACCCTACACGAGATCATTTCTAGACTCATAAGCTGGACAATTGCTCCTTGATTCAGTTCCGATAAGAAGACCAAAGAGAAGTGCAAATAAACAGCCTGTTTCTGAAAAATAAATTTCTCACCATAAGTAGGGCGATTCCTCTTCGCTGCTCCCTTAGGTTGCACGCACGGGTTCAGCGGTTAGGCGCAGTTTGACTTGCAGGAATCGTCGCGGGGTTGGGGACGGCGGGAGACGACCCGGAACCGGCGGCATCCTCTGTCGCTGCGGAATCATGAACGGGGAGCGTACCCGGTTCGGATCTGAAAGGGGAAGCCTCACTGAAGATAACAATGAGATATAGGGTATGTTTGGGAGGTAGGTAATTGAAGGTAATTATAAGTAATTGAAGGTAGGTAATTAATTAAAAAATTGTGTTTGGATGTTAATTAGGTAACTTGAGGTAGGAAAAGAATAAAATTACTAATATATGCTTATGGTTGAAAAAAAAAGTGAACCAAAGCTTGAAATAAAAATTGAGTATAAACTAGAAATCGAAAGCAAAATTGAAGATCTGTCCAGTGTCCAGAACGAAAGTTGTGAAGTAAGCAAAATTGAAGGAAACAAAAAAAACAGGAAAAAAACAAGAAACACAAAAGAGTTTGTGGCAACGTCCACAATTTCCTACTCCCTCCGTCTCCATTTAAATTATCTATTTTAATTTATGATATTTGGTTGAACTTATTTTAAAATTATTTTATATGAAAAATGGCGAAAATAAAAAAAATTACATATTTAAAAACTACATCAAAGATCTACAAAATTAGTGATGGCATGACTATATTATTTTATCAAATGACTAACAAAAATTGGTAAACGAAGTGTGTATTTCGTTGTGCTTATAATGAGTTTTAACATATAAGTCAGCTAATAACATATTTTTGGGTGCTTATTAGCTAACTTATAAATTATTTATAAGTCAAAAAAAAATAAGTAGATCTTAACTATTCACAATTTGGAAAGTGCTAAGTTGCAAAAAGAGCTCCCACCCCACTGCTAGGGGTCATGCTACACTTACACCACATATAGGCCCGCCCAATCATTTTAATAGTCCCTACACAAAAGTAATATTTCCTCCCTTTTAGAATATTTGCCCAATATTTTTTTTACATAACAAAGATTGACCTTTGACCTGTACTTAAATAAAAATAAGATAAATAATCTCTCAATAATATTTTTAAGATAAATCTAATAAATATGTTCTTGTATCAATATCTAATACAGAGTATAAATTTTACTTTATATTAAATTAATGGTAAAAGTTTAGCATAAAGATAAAATTAGATAAATATTGGTAGTAATATTTTTATTTCATTAATTACGAATTACTCCATATAATATACAAAAATAATTATAACTTTAAATTTTGTTCATAGAATATGAGGTACAAATACAAATATATTCTTGTTACAAAAAAATCAATTTTTTTAGAACTAATTAAAGATTCAAAAATAAAAAAACAAATTAGTTTTTTTAAATAAACCTAAAATAAGAAACTAATGAATGAAGCAAAATCAACTTTTAGTCTAGAGTAGAAGAAAAATAAATCTGAAACAAAAATAAGAAATTTTAGTAAATTTTGAAACAAAATTTCCACCGGAAAAAATTAGAAGAGTAAATTCTATAATTGGTCCTTTATAACAGGGGGGTTTCCCTATTTAGTCCTCTATTATCAAATATTACTCAAGTGGTCCTTCTTTTATGGGTACCTTTCCACAAATAGTCCTTTTTTGATCTTCTATCATGTTGGTGTTATTTTGAGGGCTAAAAGTGTAATTTCACAATGATAATATATCTTTTTTGTCATACACAATTCCAAAGGCTGTTCCGTTTGCGTCGTTTGTGAATTACAGTCGCTTTTTACGACAGCTATAGTCTACAAATGTGATCTTTCGTCAGAATCCTAGCCCACAATCATAGTCATTATTTTTGTGTTATCCGCTTAATCAATATCAGAACACGTCACTAGACATAATGTTGACGTCAAATTATACTTTTAGCCTTTAAATTAACACCAACACGGCAGAAAAAAAAGGACGATTTTTGGAAAGGTACCCTTAAAAAAAGGACTACGGGGGTAATATTTGATAATAGAGGACTAAATATGGAAACCCCCATGTTATAAAGGACCAATTATGGAATTTACTCAAATTAGAAAGAATAAAAAACACATGCTTAAAGTTGGAAAAATATGAAACAAACAACATGAAACAAGAAAATACTAAATTTACAAAGATTGCAAAGTTAAACATAGTCTTGGAGAAGTTGGGCTTGAACTGATATGGATCAGCGGAGTAGGTATTAATGGGATGATTAACTGATACTCCGTATTTTAAAAGAAAAGCACAGTACAAAAAATGATACAAAATTACAAATGGGCCCCTAAAATTTGGGGGCCCTGTGCAAATGAACCAGTAGAACATGGGTATGGGCGGGCCTGACCACATATTGTACCCCATTTGTACACCGTAGGCATACACAAACATTTTGATGGTTTGTACCCCATTTGTACAACGTAGGCATACACAAACATTTTGATGTCGGCGGTGGTAGCAATGGTAGAGGGCTCACGGCAGTAGAGAGGATACATAGGGTCAAGTGGTATAATATGAAAGCCAACACAATTTTCATCACATAAATATGCGTGTCCGGTCAAAGCGAGAAGTTTATTTGTGGACGGAGATAATAACATTACATCTTACTAACATGTAAAAAAGGAACACAATGATCAAACGTCTTTACTTGTGGCCGCAGAGTAAACAAAATCCATCAGCATTTATATTTCAAAAGGTGCAAGCAAAAACATCACAAAGCAAACTTCACTCACTTCCAAAAACGCCCAAACCTCAATCCAAATTCTATGATCTGTCCTAAGGGGGAAAAAAAAGATGTACAAATACTTTACAACAACCCATTTGTATCCCACAAGAGAAGGGCCTGGGGTGTGTGCGTAGACCCTACCTCTACTCGAAAAAGATGTACTTTGTTATAGTAAATTACAGTTACACATTTGCCTGCTCCCTAAGAAGAACCGCCGCCGCCGCCGCCGCCTATTTGTCTTCTTCTTCCTCCCCATTTAAGGAGTGCAGCCGCCTCAACCTCTGGTCCAGCTCTGCCAACACCGCCGGCTCCTGCCTTTTCCTGTGCTTTGATATGCTGGTGGTTGTCATTGAGCCTATCTTGTCAAATGCAACCTGCAATTTCTCATGCTTTGCTTTAGAACTCCAAACAAATCAATGAATCATGTTAACAAATACCATTTCCAGCCTACGCTAAATTTCGCATTTTCCTTTTTGTTAATCGATATTTAAAAAAAAAATCACACAACGTGCTTCTCACTTTTGGATATTTTTATTGAACTCCGTGAAGTCGAATTGTGAATTTCTTTTTCAGAGTGGAGGGAGTCACATAAAAGTCAAATGTATAGGCTGAACAACTGAACAAGACTGTTATTGATGATAATCAATGACCACCAGTACAAACAACTATGTATACACACTATTAGTCTATTACAATAAAACCTGAACCCAACCCACCCCAATTTCAATTGCAGGTTTTTCTCTCCTTAACCCGAACCCGCCCTGCACGCAATCACTAACCACCCAAATCCATCATATTACCTGCAATAACCCATGACGCTACGCATAGACAACTGGCCACCTAGTTCTTACTAGAACAATGACAAAAAGATGAACGAGTAGGAAATCAACGAGGTCTATTGTGATATCTATAATAGATGAATAAACCAAGCAATCTAACAGAGTAGAAGATGAACACAAGAGACCAAGGGAAGTAGAGGGCAGCAAGAAGGCATTACCGTTAATAAATCATCGGGATCAAAAAGATGATGTGTGGTCCTCTGTATGATATTTATTACATCTCCAACTTGATGTGCCAATATCAACTCTTCCTCATTCATCTACACTTTTCGACAATTATAAATAATTGAGAACAACACTATACACAGAAGCAACAAAACCCAATTAGATCCAAACTCTATTGGGATGGGGGGGGGGGGTCAATATGACAATATGTATGCATTATTAGTTAACAAAATCAGAGAGAGGTAAATAAAATTCTATGCGTACTTATAAGTATTTTCTAATCAAAATTGAAGACAACCCATACAAAGATAATCACCTTAAAAATTGCCAAAGCTGCATGAAATAGGACCTTTGCCCCTTCATAGAATAGGACATCCCAGATGCGCAAGGTTGTCTGAAATGGAATAGAAGGATCATCATCACAATTGATGAACAAAAGTGTTTGGGTGCATGAAAGAGGTACATAATTATTATATTGACCTCAGAAGGCAAACTTTTTGAGAAAAGACAGAGAAACCATTCTGTACAAACAAGAGAAACATCAAACTCCAAAGCATCCAAATGTGAGGCTATCCTGCATTAAGATTCATTGTTACATTCAAGAACTAGGAAACAGATCATGAAGGTAAAGAATAAGCTAACATTTTCATCAAAATTCAGAAAAGAGAAAACACCTTGGACACTTTTTTCTTAACAAATCCTTAAACACTCTTTGTTCAACATGACACCCAGATAAGTTATATGTATAACAATCATTGACTAGCACATTCTCTAGAAGAACAGCTAGCATCCAGAAAGCATCTTCTTCAGTTTTCATCACAAGCAGTAGTAGAGCCCCAACATAATTTAAGCCCTGCAAAATAGTAACTCAATTAATAAGGTTGGTATTAATTTAATGAACTTATAAAACACACATTCAAATTGAATTATCACCAAAATGGCCAGAGAGACAAGGGTAGTGTTCTTTTCAACTTGGTAAAATAACATCTATAGTGACTTCCCTTGTATGAGCTTCTCTTAAAGCAAGGGAAAAAAAGAACCAAGCAAACTCTTTAAACAAATAAAAAAAACTCATATTCGGAGTATATACTCCGTGTGTGTGTGTGTGCACATGTTTGTCCTCAAGAAATATAAGTCACGCAAAAAAAACCCTGTGACCTCCAATACTCTTCAGAAAGTACATGTCCAATGAATGTTTATATAAATCATCTAGCCTGAAGATTTAAATTGGATAAGAGTGGAAATGGGTCTTTCGTACTTATATGGCATATGCATAAAGCCTTCTTTATTAGTAATATCAGAACTTTAAAGTTTCTACTTTGTTAAAAAAGCAAGTGTATGAAGAAGCTACTATCACAAGTCCTTTTTGGGAGAGATCAAATCAACCTGACAGTAGCCAACATCAGAATCTCGAAATGAATAAGCAACAAGAACACGCCTAAGAGCAGCATGACCCTCTGGAGTGTCCAACCATTGGTGACCAGGAAAAGTACGTGGCAGGTCCTGCAAAAAGCAATAAACATTAGAACAGTGCATAAACCACACCATATTCCAAGGCATTACAATCTGATAATGATGACAACAACAATATCATCACCATCATCATTACTGCTACTACCATCGTTATTATCATTAACGACAATAATAATGTTTTCAGCACTACATAAGACCTTGCTAAGCATTTTGGATGAACCAAATCAACCTCTTCTCAAACAGCAACGTAGAACCTAGGAGTTGTATATGTGAAAGTAGCTAGTAATTAGTAAATCAAGCTTAGGTTTTGATATTGAAGAACCATCCTCAATATTTGGATAACTGATCAACCTTCATGCTTCCCTTTATGTGAACAGTTGGAGAGTGGAAATGAAAAAATAAATGAATACAAATTGTTATAGTCACTATTCATCATTCAATGCAACTCTTCTTTATTATTCTCTTTTGGATTGCTTTATTTGCGTTAAATATGGATGTGGGCTGCCTTCCTAGCTTTTAAGGCAAGCACCATGCCTGGAGGGTGATTGGCCTTCAGTCAACCTCAAGCCTACCAATCATGATGGTACCCCTGAATAGATAAGCCAATCGAGGTGGTAGCCTAACACTCATCAGGTGACTTAGATAAGCCATCCACTCTGATGTCTTTAGGATTGGTTGCAGGTGAATACAACTGTTTACGAAATTCTTAAATATAAAGCAGGATCCGACTAATATGAAAGTTGCATTGTATATAACTCTAGCCAAGTCACATATCTCATTACAGGAAGTAATTATATTCCATGGGTTCTTGCTGTTAAGACACCTAAAGCTTCTCCATCTAACAAGCATTCAACTATTTGAGTGGAATCCACTCTTATCATAATATAAGCAGAAACTAAGAAATGTGTTTCCAGTTTCCACATCCAAGATATAAAGCTTAAAAATGCAAGATTGTAAGAATAGTAGGGATGGAAAGAGAAAGAGAGATGCTGACATGGTCAATCTGCTTGGTGGCAGGGGTGACCTTGTCTCGGACAGCCTTGGTGAGATCATCATAGTAGCTCTCTGGCACAGTGGACTTCTTCTTGGCGGCGCCAGAAAGGGAAAACCAGACCTTGGGGCGGAGCACGGGAGGGATGCCCTTACGGATGAGGCGCTTGAGTGTGATGGCATTGACAAGAGCAGAGAACTTTAGGGATGACTTGATAGTAGAGGAGACATGAGTCTGGAGGTACCAATTGGAACCTTTGCTGGCCTCCAATGACCACCACACCCTCCCTTGCTCCCTCACCTTCTCCCTCACCTCATTCAACACATTCACATCATCCACATTCCCCTCCACCGGGAACCCGTACAGATCCTGGAATTTCACCGTCAGGTTCGCCCTCCTCGCGTAGATGCTCGGCCGGAGCGTCGTGATCTGCAACCCATATTCCAACGCCAAATCCCTAAGGCTCTGTGTGTGAGCTCTTGCGCCATACATCTCTTTCTCCCTTTCTCTTATCAATCAATTAATTTACAATAAAAACAACAAACAGAGATTTTTTTTCCCCCTCTTCTAACATGAATCATTCATTTAACAGATCATACGGCTTCCGCCTTCAATTCAAACCTTCCCGACGAAAAACACACGAGAAGCAGAAGATTCCACACACAAAATGTACAAAAATATAATAAAACATACACAAAAAAACGTAGATATACACAACAATCATACGTACATATGTACAGCTGGTGAAGGCCCGTCAGATTTCAGGCGAGCTGAGGGCAAGGCGTAGCCATTGATGGAGACTGGATTCAATTATTGAAGCGTTCATCATCATCATTTCCAGAAAGAGAAAAAAAAAAGAGAGGAGATGAACGAAGATAAGCAGTATCCCGAGACTTTAGAGAAAGTCCATTTTCTCTCTGGGCCATGAATGAAGAAGGATCTGTAAATAATGCAGTTACGCACTCGTTAAAATTTGAAATTTATCACCTCATACGAAAAAAAGAAAATCGAGTAAATTGACTTTTCTTGGATAGTGAAGTGTCACTGTTAATTCCTAAACCGATCAAATTCGGATTGTGTCCAACCCTAACAACTAACAAATGGATGCCTAGTTGCATTAACAATGACCGTGCTTGGCTTACAAGCTAATTGCGGGTAATATGGTGTTTATGGTACACCAAAGTTGACACTGTTTCTTGTTTGAGCATTGTTAACTCTATTATAATATCTAGAAACTGTGACACTCATTGTCTTGCTTGTCTATTTGTGTGACAATTAGTGTCAAAATTATATCAGATTATTAGTCTTCTTATCATTTTTCCCTCAAAATGAGGGTCCAACCAAGCCCTCCAAATATTTAGTAGGAAAAGATATGGATCCCACTTGTGCCGCACCATTTTTGACATCAAAAACAACACACCCACAATAATTATCTATTTCAAAGTTTCTATATTCACTTTTACGGTAATCGATAAATATAATATAAAAAATGATTGTACGTACAAGTAAAACGGGCATCCCAAAGCACAAGGGTTAAGGCTAAAGCCTACGCCAACAAGCAAGGCACACAAGCCACAACACTAAGTAAAAAATAATACAAGAGACCAACTTGGCACACATGCCGAACTAAAAATCAATAGATGCATAATATCATAATATCAAGAGACTTATGATCAAAGCAGACCCCATTGCGTGCTTTCCAAATCATAAAGATCATACATGCCAAAGCCAGCTTCCCTACCGTCTTCTTAGCCGGATTAACACTTCTGAACGTTTTCATCCAACAGACTGATCTAGCCAAAGTAGTTAGGTGTGCATCAATACCCCACCAACTAAGAATTGAAACCTAGATTTGCTTGCTCACCGAATAGTCAATGTTCTCTAAATCACCACCATAAAGACTACAATCCCTTGAAATATCTAACAAATCAAAGTAAACTTTTATGGGTAAATATTGTCTTAAAGCCAGTCACAATATGATTGAGCACTTGGGGGGGGGGGAGGGAGGGGGGATAAAAGATTGCCAA